CAATAAACATTTACTTCCAAGGCTTGACAATATGTATGTCTTAGTACTGTAGTTGTTGAAATGCTATTGTAGATTTTTCCAAATGATTAACAGAGAAATAATCAAAGAAGTAATTATTTCTATCCTTTACCTTGATGTAAAAATAAACTTTGCTTTTAAAGTCATTTATAAAACAAACTTTTTCCATATACCTTTTGTCGTAGGTTTCTAACAGATTCCTTAACATATGGCAAATCTTTAGATGGGACATACTTTTCAAGCATTTTTTCAAAGTTAGGATGACACATCATGAAGAACAGCATCTTTCGACCATAAAACCTATGAATATTTGAAAAATAGGTATATTACATTTTAGACATTAACAAGCTCAGTTTCTCTCCTTAGATGCATTGTTTTTAATAGAGGAAAAGAAAAACTATTAAACATCAAGATTACCATTCCTATTTTAAATAATCACCAAAATACAGATATCCTAACTGTACAGGATACCCTAGAGGGTATAGATGGTTCTTGACTTACAATAATTCGACTTGTAATTTTTCAACGTTATAATAGTGTGAAAGAGATATGCATTCTGTGGAAGCCATACTTTGAATTTTGATCTTTTCATACCTAGTGATATGCAGTATGGCACTCTCTTGATATACTGGACAGCAGCAGTGAGCCACAGCTCTTAGTCAGCCATGTGATCATGATACTCTACAACGTACTGTGTTGCCAGAAGATTCTGTCCAAGCGCAGGCTAATGAAAGTGTTCTCAGAATGTTTAAGGTAAGGCTTGGTTAAGTTATGATTATTTGACTAAGTTATAAAGTTTGGTAGGTTAGGTGTATTAAATGCACTTTTGGCTTATGATATTTCCTATTCATGATGAGTTTACTGGGATATAACCTCATTGTAAGTTAAGAAGCATCTGTGGCTGGGGGCAGTGGCTCATGCCTGTAATCCCAGCACTTTGGGAGGCCGGGGCAAGTGGATCATGAGGTCAGGAGTTTGAGACCAGCCTGGCCAACACGGTGAAACCCCGTTTCTTCTAGAAAGAAAATACAAAAATTAGCCGGATGTGGTGGCATAAACCTGTAATCCCAGCTACTCAGGAGGCTGAGGCAGGAGAATTGCATGAACCTGGGAGGCAGAGGTTGCAGTGAGCCAAGATCACACCATTGCACTCCAGCCTGGGCAACAGAGAGAAACTCCGTCTCAAACAAAAACAAACAAACAAAAACATCTGTTGGGATGCTCCCATCTGAAATTCCCTCTGAAAGTCACTGTTCAAATCCTTCTGCCTTGTGTCAGATGGAGAGACAAAAGCTTTGATTCTGTTTTTCAGGCACCCCAGGGTACATATCAATACTGGCATCAGGCAGAATTGTGAGTCAGAGAAGTTTGTCTCTGTCTTGGGCTCCTTGCCCATTGATCATTTACGGTCCACCTACTGGCCAGATGTTCTGGCCTGAATCAACCCTCCCTTTCCTTAGCCAAAACTTACCAGAGTTCTGATTCTTCAAAATCCTATTCTTTACTACCTAAAATACACCCAAGGTTAGTTGATAAATTGTGGCTGATATGTTAATAAAGGTAATAATCTTAAAAACTAAGTTTTTTAAATATGAATATATAGAATTTAAAATAATCATCTTAGCATAATACTTTAAGCTCAGTGATTCTAATGATGGAAATTCAGATATCACAGCAGTGCATACTGGAGGCATTTTAGCATGTAGGTTTCTTATACTATTTCAAAATAGTACCACACTATTCATCTTCAAGGAGGCCGAGACCTAAAATAAATTAGTTACACTTTTGCTCACAACTTGGAATATATGCACAAAAAGAAACGAGAAGAGGCTGGGCATAGTGGCTCACAACTGTAATCCTAGCACCTTGGGAGGCCAAGGTGGGTGGATCACCTGAGGCCAGGAGTTCGAGACCAGCCTGGCCAACATGGTGAAACCATCTCTACTAAAAATATAAAAAGGCATGGTGGCACATGCCTGTAATCCCAGCTACTCAGGAGGCTGGGGCACAAGAATCGCTTAAACATGAGAGGTGGAGGTTTCAGTGAACTGAGATTGCACCACCGCACTCCAGCCTGGGTGACAGAGTAAGACTCTATCTCAAAAAAAAAGAAAGAAACAAGAGAAGGACAGGCTTTTGTGGGGTTTTATAGGTAGGGGGATACAGGATGATCTTAAGATCACCTGTCTTGGCCAGGCGCAGTGGTTCACATCTATAATCCCAGCACTCTGAGAGGCTAAGTTGGGTGGATTGCTTGAGCCTAAGAGTTCAAGACAAGCTTCAGCAACATCACAAAACCCATCTCTACAAAAAAATACAAAACTTAGGCATGGTGGCACGTGCCTGTAGTCACAACTACTCAGGAGGCTGCGGTGGGAGGATCACTTGAGTTCAAGAGGCAGAAGTAGCAGTGAGCTGAGATGATGCCACTGTACTCTAGCCTGGGTGAAAGAGCAAGACCCTATCTCCAAAAAGAAAAGGATCATGTATCTCAACCAGATGCATTCAAATGTAATGAAATTGCAGAGAGAGAAGCGAAGTCAAAAATATTACCTTTCTCTCTCCACAACCAGAATAAGGTCTATATCCAGATAAGCAGCTTCTAATCAGTTATATTTTCAAGGGCAATTCTAAGGTTTAGCCTGCAATGTTAAGGACTGTAGGTCTATTATAGGGCCCAATGATATGAACAAGTAAGCAAACAACAGGGACACAAAATATGAGAAATATAAAACTCAAATATTAACTGTAACCATTTTATAATTTTATAGCTTTAAGTAAGAATCTAAGATATGACAAAATGGGCTAGAAAGAATTACTACGCCATTAAGGAATGGTTAAGTAAAGAAGAACACAAGATAGCCATTAAGAAATCTTTTTTTAATAACAAGGTGATAGACACAGAGAAAAGAACATCTTCTGTTTCCAACTAGCCTATCATGATCTAACTCTCTTGAATTTTTTGAACATTAATGTGATATGCAGAACTTTAAAATGATTCCCCAAAGATGTCCTGCTCCAATCCCTATAATTTGTGAATATAAGATATCACTCCCAATGTGGTTTTGATTTGCATTTCTCTAATGACCAGTGATGATGAGCCTTTTTTCATGTTTCTTGACTGCATAAATTTCTTCTTTTGAGAAGCGTCTATTCATATCCTTCGCCCACTTTTTGATGGGGTTATTTTTTTCGTAAATTTTTTTCAGTTCTTTGTAGACTGGTTATTAGCCCTTTGTCAGATGGGTAGACCACAAAAATATTTTCCCATTCTGTTGGTTGCCAGTTCACTCTAAAGATTGTTTCTTTTGCTGTGCAGAAGCTCTTAAGTTTAGATCCCATTTGTCTATTTTGGCTTTTGTTGCCATTGCTTTTGGTGTTTTAGTTATGAAGTCCTTGTCCATGCCTATGCCCTGAATGGTATTGCCTAGGTTTTCTTCTAGGGTTTTTATGGTGTTATGTCTTATGTTTAAATCTTTAATGCATCTGGAGTTAATTTTTGTATAAGGTATGAGGAAGGGATCCAGTTTCAGCTTTCTGCATATGGCTAGCCAGTTTTCACAATACCATTTATTAAATCCTTTCCCCATTGCTTGTTTTTGTCAGGTTTGTCAAAGATCAGATGGTTGTAGATGGGTGGTATTACTTCTGAGGCCTCTGTTCTGTTCCATTGGTCTGTATCTCTGTTTTGATACCAGTAGCATGCTGTTTTGATTACTGTAGCCTTGTAGAATAGTTTGAAGTCAGATAGCATGATACCTCCAGCTTTGTTGTTTTTGCTTAGGATTGTCTTGGCTATGTGGGCTCTCTTTTGGTTCCATATGAAGTTTAAGGTGGTTTTTTTCCAATTTTGTGAAGAAAGTCAATGGTAGCTTGATGGGGATAGCATTGAATCTATCAATTACTTTGAGCAGCATGGCCATTTTCTTTCTATTAATTCTTCCTAACCATGAGCATGGAATGTTTTTCCATCTGTTTGTGTCCTCTCTTATTTCCTTGAGCAGTGATTTGTAGTTCTCCTTGAAGAGGTCCTTCACATCCCTTGACAATCTCACGCCAGTTAGAATGGTGATCATTAAAAAATCTGGAGACAACAGATGCTAGGGAGGATGTGGAGAAATAGGAACACCTTTACACTGTTGCTGTGAGTGTAAATTAGTTCAACCATTGTGGAAGACAGTGTGGCTATTCCTCAAGGATCTAGAACTAGAAATACCATTTGACCCAGCAATCCCATTACTGGGTATATACCAAAGGATTACAACATTCAATTATAAAGATACATGCACACATATGTTTATTGCGACACTGTTTACAATACCAAAGACTTGGAATCAACCCAAACGCCCATCAGTGATAGACTGGATAAAGAAAATGTGGCACATATACACCACGGAATACTATGCAGCCATAAAAAAGGATGAGTTCATATCTTTTGCAGGGACATAGATAAAGCTGGAAACCATCATTCTGAGCAAACTGACACAAGAAAAGAAAACCAAACACCACATGTTCTGACTCATAAGTGGGTGTTGAACAATGAGAACACATGGACACAGGGAGGGGAACATCACACACCGGGGCTTGTCGGGGGGTGGGGGGTCTAGGGGAGGGATAGCACGGGGTTGGGGTATTGGGGAGGGGTAACATTAGGAGAAATATCTAATGTAGATGATGGGGCATAGATGCAACAAACCACCATGGCACACTGTATACCTATTTAACAAACCTGAATGTTCTGCACATGTACTCCAGAACTTAAAGTATAATTTTAAAAAAAAGAAAAAAAGATATCACTCCCAAGATTATGTTATGTCATATAACACAGTTAACTTTAAAATAATGACATGAGCCGGGCATGGTGTCTCACACCTGTAATTCAAGCACTTTGGAGGCCAAGGCAGGCAGATCACCTGAGGTTGGGAGTTCAAGACCAGCCTGACCGACATGGTGAAACCCCATCTTTAAAAAAAAAATAATAATAATAATAATGACATGATCTGGTGGAATTAATCTAATCAGTCAAGCCCTTAAAAGCAGAGGGCTTTCTGTGGCTGGTAGAAAAAGAGGAAGTCTGAAAGATCCTATGAAGAAGAGCTCAACATGTCATTGCAGGCTTAAACCCAGAGGAGGGCTGCATGCAAAGAAATGTGAGTAGTGTTAAGGAGCTAAGCAAGGACCCTCACTGACAGCCAGCGAGGAAATGCAGACCTCGGTCTCTATTTTTTTTGAGGTTGGAGTGCAACTCCAACAGTGGATCTCAACTCACTGTAACCTCCACCTCCTGGGTTCAAGTGATTCTCCCGCTTCAGCCTCCTGAGTAGCTGGGATTACAAACTCTTGCCACCATGGCCAGCTAATTTTTGCTTTTTTTTTTTTTTTTTTTTTTGAGACGAAGTTTCGCTCTTGTTACCCAGGCTAAAGTGCAATGGCGCGATCTCGGCTCACTGCAACCTCCGCCTCCTGGGTTCAGGCAATTCTCCTGCCTCAGCCTTCCGAGTAGCTGGGATTATAGGCATGCGCCACCACGCCCAGCTAATTTTTTGTATTTTTAGTAGAGACGGGGTTTCACCATGTTGACTGAGACGGTCTCAATCTCTTGACCTCGTGATCCACCCGCCTCGGCCCCCCAAAGTGCTGGGATTACAGGCTTGAGCCACCGCGCCCGGCCAATTTTTGCATTTTTAATAGAGATGGGGTTTCACCATGTTGTCCAGGCTGGTCTTGAACTCCTGACCTCAGGTGATCTGCCTGCCTTGGCCTCCCAAAGTTCTGGGATTTTAGGCACAAGTCACCATGCTCGGCCGTCCTGAGTATTAAAACCACAAGGAACTGAATTTGGCAAAGCCAAGCACTGCTATCACCTTGATTTTGTCCTTCTGAAATCAAAGGCAGTGAACTGAGGTGAGCCATGGCAGACTTCTAACCTAAAGAACTCTAAGCCAAACAATGTGAGTTGCCTTAAGCTGCTACATTTGTGTTAATCTGTTACACAGCAATGAAAAACTAATACATTTACTTTCTATTATATTTAGGTATAATGAGTTCCATAATATTAACTCCAGCAGTTACCTAAAATAATGAACATCTTTGTCTTAAAATGTTAAATTTTTTTTTTTCAGGTCAGATGGGTAATGTGCCGACATTGTAACAAGGTTCAAGGGTGGCACATCTCACAGAAGCATGTGAACACCCAATCATTATGCTCATGAACTACAAAGGATCAAAATGTTAAAAATTTTATATCCTTTTTTACTTTAATCCTTATGACCCAGATCCTTTTTAAAAATTAATCTTTTTTTTTTTTTTTTTTTTTTTAGATGGAGTCTCTCTCTGTTTCCCAGGCTGGAGTGCAGTGGCTGAATCTCAGCTCGGTGAAACCTCTGGCTCCCGGGTTCAATGATAGCTGGGATTACATGCACGTGCCACCATGCCTGGCTAATTTTTGTATTTCGAGTAGAGACGGGGTTTCACAATATTGGCCAGGCTGGTCTCGAACTCTGGACCTCAGGTGATCTGCCTTCCTTGGCCTCCCAAAGTGCCGGGATTATAGGCATGAGCCACTGCGCCTGGCCACATATTACTGCTATAAAAATTTTATATTTTATATGGGACATTGTTGGTCCCCTAGTCCACCCTTCCTAATTTTATAGATAAGGAAACAGAGACTAACAGAAATTAAGTAACTTGCTTAAGAACAAACAATGACAGGGACAAGAAATTTAACATAAGTATTTGACTACATCCAAAATTTCTGTCACCACCACAACCATAATGCTATCAACATCTTAATTATTGTATGTGTAATATACATATCACCCTGTATGTGTTTCTCTGACTATTCTTTGTTTTTACTTATAATTCTCAGGTATCTCTGACTGTTCTTAAACTTCATAAAATTATTTTTCAAGTACAACCATCAGAAATTTGTGTAGTTTTCAGATTGCAGATATCTCATGTTTCATGGGATAATATATTGTTATGTAGTATTCCTGTATTTTTCATGTGTACCTATTTCCTTGATTTTACCTGATTGCTTGGAGAATAAATCATTTTCCCCTAAATGCATTACCTTACATTTGCTCATAATGAAGTTCTTCTGCCACTTTTCTGCCCACTCATACAGTCTTGTGCTGTTTTCATGAAGTTCATCCCTGTGACTTGGCATCTCACTACCCAGAAGTATGTAGTGTCATCTGTAAATTTGGAGAATTCACTGTGCACTCCCTCAAGAATATTTACAAACTGGTTAAATAAGACCATCCCTAAGCACCAATCCCTGGGGACCCCACTTCTCCATTTAGAAAATGTTCATTTTTCTTTAATCTTTCTCTTTTCCTACTTTTAAGCCCTTATTAATAACAGATTTAGCAAACATTAACAGATATTCACCTGGTTTCTTGTGAACTGTCTTGAGCAAACTTAGCAGCAGCTGGTAGTATACGTTCAGCCATATCCTTTGTTGCAGATAAAATACGTTCTGGTTCCATAAATTCCAATACATCTGATAAATGCTGGGCTGTACACCTTCTTACGGCAATGTGTAAATGGCTACAAAGAGACATGATCAATTAAAACAGAGTTGTTATATAAACTATTCTCTGAAGATCTGTATCTATGGGGTGTTTTTGGTTTTGTTTTTTGGGACAGGGTTTTGCTCTATCACTGAATCCAGATGCAATGATGGCTTACTGCAGTTTCAACCTCCTGGGTTCAAGTGATCCTCCTGCCTCAGCCTCCCAAGTAGCTGAGGCCACAGGCATGTGCCAAGACACCCAGCTAATTTGTTTTTAGTTTTAGTACAGATGAGGTCTCACTATGTTGCCCAAGCTGATCTCAAACTCCTGGGCTCAAGGGATCTTCCCACCTTGGCCTCCCAAAGTGCTGGGATTAGAGGTATGAGCCACCATGCAAAGCCAAAGACCTATCTTAAAGTTAAATGATTTAACAGCTCCTCAACAATCATCCTGGGAGGCTAAAATAACAAATTATTTGCATTACTTATTACTTCCCAAAAAGTTAAAAGCAAAACAAAACTGACATTTACTTATAGATCTATGAATGTAAATAACATTATTGAAATAACAACAGAGTAAGGTTATTAAAATAACTTTTATTGAGCTAAAAGTAGATCTACCATTTGATCTAGCAATTCCACTGCTTGGTACCTACCAAAATGAAAAGAAGTCATTATGTGAAAAAGACACTTGCACGTGCTTATTGCAGCAAAATTCAAAATTACAAAGATGTGGAACCAACCTAAGTGCCCACTGACTAATCAGTGCATAAAGAAAATGTGGTGGGCCAGGTGCGAGGGCTCACGCCTGGAATCCCAGCATTTTGGGAGGCCAAGGTGGGTGGATCACCTGAGGTTGAGAGTTTGTGACCAGCCTGACCAACATGGAGAAACCCTGTCTCTACTAAAAATACAAAATTAGCCGGGCATGGAGGCCCATGCCTGTAATCCCAGCTACTCGGGAGGCTGAGGCAGGAGAATCGCTTGAATCTGGGTGGCAGAGGTTACAGTGAGCCAAGATCTCACCATTGCACTCCAGCCTGGGCAACAAGAGCAAAACTCTGTCTCAAAAAAAAAGAAAGAGAGAAAATGTGGTATATATATATACACACACACACACACACACACACACACACACATACATATACACATGTATATACACACACATACATACATACATACATACATATACCACGGAATGCTACCCAGCCATTAAAGGGAATTAAATAATGTCTTTTGTAACAACTTGGATGGAGCTGGAGGCCATTATTCTAAGTGAAGTAACACAGGAGTGGAATACCAAAAACCATATGTTCTTTCCTATAAGTGGCAGCTAAGTTATGAGTATGCAAAGCCATACAGGGTGATATATATAATTATCTTTAGAGAAAGAAGAAGAGCAGGAGGGGGGCTAGAGATCAAAACTACACATTAGATACAAGGTACACTACTCAAGTGATGGGTGCACAAAAATCTCAGAATTCACTATTATATAATTCACCCATGTAACAAAAAAACACTTGTATCCCAAAAGCTATTGAAATAAAAATTAATAAAAATAATAATTGTAAGTCTAAAACCAAATTGCCTAGATGATTTTGTGTGGCAGACACTTTGCTAGGTGCCCTAGGGACACAAGAAATATAAATATTTTATGAGAAAACTAATAACATTATTCTTTTCATATTCAGCATGTAGTATAATGTTTATCTCATAGGAACTTTTTAATAAATATTTTTTGATCGATATAATACTAGCTTTTTGATCGATATAATACTAAGATTTGCTGGTTTCTTTTCTACACCCGATTGCAACATTTCATCTTTAGTTTAAAGACATTTCAAGATTATTTTAAACATTACCTTTGTCCGCCATTGATAAGAGAAACAACTGCACGTGCAGGAGTTACATTATTAACCATAGCTCTCAATGCTTTGTCAACATCTTCTCTTATAAATGTGTTTGATTCACCAGCCTTGTGCAACAAAGCTTTTACTGTGGTATCTAATTCTTGATCCATGCTCTTTTTCAAATAAGTGAAAAGATCACTTAAACAGACCACAGCAGCACGAGAAACTCCAGAACGTAAATTTTTCACCTAAAAAAAATTTCAAGATGTACATTTTGCTGATATTCTGCAAGAAAATCAGTAATAACTTGGAAAGGAAATTTACTTTTTTTTTTTTTGAGTTAGGGTCTCACTCTGTTGCACAGGCTAGAGTGCAGTAGTGTGATCTCAGCTTACTGCAATGTCCACCTCCTGGGTTCCAGTGATTCTTCCGTCTCAGCCACCTGAGTAGCCGGAATTACAGGTGCAAACCACCATGCCTGGTTAATTTTTGTCTTTTTAGTCAAAATGGGGTTTTACCATACTGGGAAGGCTGGTCTCGAACTCCTGTCTTCAAGTAACATACCTTTGCCCGGGTGCGGTGGCTCACGCCTGTAATCCTAGCACTTTAGGGGGCCGAATTGGGTGTATTACCTGAGGTCACGAGTTTAAGACCAGCCTGGCCAACATGGTAAAACCCTATCTCTACTCAAAATACAAAAATTAGCCAGGCATGGTGGTGTGTGCCTATAATGCTAGCTACTTGGAAGACTGAGGCAGGAGAATTGCTTGAACCTAGGAGGAGAAGGTTGCAGTGAGGCAAGATTGCATCACTGCACTCCAGCCTGGGGAGCAGAGCAAGACTCCATCTCAAAAACAAAGCCCCATATCTTAATATACGTTATCTTTTGTCCTAAGAATTAACATCCATTAAATTTCTTTTAATGTTGCAAATTAAGACAAGGTCTACTTTAATTAAATACAAGCCTTTTATATCGTATAGTACAGAGGTGCTTAAAAATTTTAAAGGTCAAATAAACAGAGCATATTTTTTCCTTGTTATTCTAATAATACTTATCAAAAAAATAAGTTTACCTCTTGAACAACTGCAAAATTTATTTCATGCAATTTTGTGTTCAGTATCTCAGGATGGAAAGCAGCTAAGCATCTAATAAAATTCAGTCCCTCAATTTTCTTCTCCCTATGGGAAAAAGAAATGACAAAATCATTCGTTAAATGGGACTCAACTGAAACAGGATCACAGATGTCTTCTTTTCTGTGTATGGAATATTGTCAAGGAAGAGGTTCAGAAAGGTAAGAAAGGTTTAGAAGAAAAGTTTGAGTTTAGCAAAAGTTGGTTCATGAAGTTGAGGGAAAGATGCCATCTCCGTAATATAAAAGTGCAATGTGGGCTGGGTGAGGTGGCTCACGCCTGTAATCCCAGCACTTTGGGAGGCCAAAATGGGTGGATCATGAGGTCAGGAGTTCAAGAACACCCTGGCCAACCTGGCAAAGCCCTGTCTCTACTGAAAATACAAAAATTAGCTAGGCATGGTAGTGCATACCTGTAATCCTGTCTACTTGGGAGGCTGAGGCAGGAGAATCACTTGAACCCAGGTGGCAGAGGTTGCAGTGAGCCGAAATGGTGTCACTGCACTCCAGCCTGGGCTTCAGAGCAAGACTCCATCTCCGGGGGGAAAAAAGTGCAATGTGAAGCAGTAGGTGCTAATGTGGAAGCAGCAGCAAGTTATCCAGGTAGGGTAATAGATATATGTAGCTACACAAAGCAACAGATATTCAATGTAAAGGAAACAGCCTCCTATTAGAAGAAGATGCCATCTTGGACTTTCAAAATCAATATGATTCTTACATGCTAAATTTTCAGAAATGAATTTATATTAGAATGTATGAAAACAACATTAATATCCTTGTATGTCTCCATCACAGCTCATGAGTGACCAGGTACACTGTCAATGAGCAGTAGTATTTGCTGTAATTGCTGAAATTGCCATGGCCAGCCACTACCACCCTAATTAGTCAGCAGTCATCAACATCAAGGTAAGATCCTCCACTAGCAAAAAGATTACAACTCACTGAGGGTTCAAGTGATCAGTAGTATTTTTTTTAGCAACTAAGTATTTTTTAATTAAGGCATATTGATTTTTTTAGGCATAATGCTACTGTTCACTTCTTAGACTACATTATAGTGTAAATACAACTTTTATATCTTTTAGATTCAAAAGATAATTAAACAATCTATAATTGTGTACCTTATACAATTATAGTGTAGATATAATTGTAGATTTATTTATCCTTAAATTTCTATCAGTTTTTTTCTTCATGTATGCGTGCTGTCTCTATGTGTACGTGTGTGTGTGCTAGGACTAATACGTCTTTCTGATGAATAGACACTTTCATGGTTTAACAATAGGACTTGTTAGCTGGTCCTTTGTTATCTGACCCTTGGTAATAAAGAGTTACAATTTTTGGTAAGGATTTTAAATTTTTTTCACTAGTGTTCTATGGAGCTACCAAAGTGCTTTCTGTGGAGAAGTCCCACGGTCTGGTTTATATTTTAACAGTAGCAACGGCTATTACATGAGATGGAGTAATAATACAAGCATGAAAACCAGTGATGAAACTACGATAGCCATGTGGGAGATAATTATGGCATGAACTAGAGGAATGGCAGCAGAGGCTGCAGTAAGTAATTGGTTTCAGGATATGTTCTGAAAATATAAGAATTGATGGAATGTACAGAAATGAGAGGCCAGGTGCAGTGGCTCATGCATATAATCTTAATACTTTGGGAGGGTGAGGTGGGCAGATTGCTTGAGACCAGTAGTTCAAGATCAGCTTGGTTGAAACTCTATCTCTTTACAAACAATACCAAAAGTAGCCAGGCATGGTGATGTGTACATGTAGTCCCAGCTACTTGGGTGGCTGAGGTGGGAGGATCACCTGAGCCCACAGAGGTCACGGTTGCAGTAAGCCATGATCATGCTACTGCACTTCACCCTGAGTGACTCAGTGAAACTTTGTCTCAAACAAAGAAAGACAAAAAAAAAATCAACCCTGACTTGGAAAAAACTCAAATGTATATGGCAGGGCTATTAACTAAGATAGTGAACACTGAGGGAGAAGTATATTTCAGATTAGGAAGAGAGGAAATAAAAAGTTCTATGTTAAGAAATTTTATCTCTATGTTCTTGTGCTATATTAGGAATTGGTCTGTAGTTTTCCAGTCTTTGTATGATTTTGATATCAGAGTAATGGTGGCCTCAGTCAATGAGATGAGAACTCCATCTTATTCAATGTTCTAGAAGTATATGTAGAACTGGTTTCTTCCTAAAATGTTTGGTATAAACTATCAGAAAATGAAGGTTTCCTTTTTTTTTTTTTGAAAGGGAGTCTTGCCCTGTCACCCAGGCTGGAGTACAGTGGTGCGATCTTGGCTTACTGAAACCTCTGCCTCCCAGGTTCAAGTGATTCTCCTGTCTCAGCCTCCTGAGTAGCTGGGGTTACAGGCATATGACATCATATCTAGCTAATTTTTGTAATTTTAGTAGAGAAGAGGTTTCACCATGTTGGCCAGGTGGTCTTGAACTCCTGACCTCAAGTGATCTGCCTGCCTTGGCCTCCCAAACTGCTGGGATTATAGGCGTGAGCCACTGCTCCCAACCTCTTTGTGGGAAAATTTAAACAAAAATTCAATTTCATTCATAGATACTGGGTTATACAAGTTTATTTGTTTGTTTTTGTTTTTTTTTGAGACAGTGTCCTGATGTGTTGCCCACGCTGGAGTGCAGTGGCACAATCTCAGCTCACTGCAACCTTCTCCTGGGTTCAAGCAATTTTCATGTCTAAGCCTCCTGAATAGCTGTGATTACAGGCACGAGCCACAATACCAGGCTAGTTTTTGTTTTTTTTTAGTAGTGATAGGGTTTCACCATGTTAGCCAGGCTGGTTTCAAACTCCTGGCCTCAATGATCCACCTGCCTCAGCCTCCCAATGTGCTGGAATTACAGGTGTGAGACATCGTGCCCAGCCACAAGTTATCTATTTCCTTACGAATGAGTTTTAGTAGTTTGGTTCTTTCAAATAGTTTGTCCATTCACCTAAGTTGTTGAATTTTGGGGCATCATGCTGTTTATCATATTTCTATATTATCTGTTTAACAGCTGTATGATCAGTAGTGATGTTTCTTCTCTCATTCTTGATGTTAGCAATTTTCCTCTTCTTTTCCATGATCAATCTGACTAGAGGCTTATCCATTTTATTGATCTTCTCCAAGAACCTGCTTTTGCTTTCACTGGTTTTCTCTATTGTTTTCCACTGCAATGACTTTCACACAGATCTTTATTATTACCTTTCTTTGCTTACTTTGAGCTTCAGTTGCTCTTCTGTTTCTAGTTTCTTAAGGTGAAAGCTTATTTCCTTGATATAGAACTTTTCTTCTTCTTTTCTAATATGGGTGTCATAGTGTGACATATTCCTCTTTATTTTGGCTAAATCCCACAAATTTTGATGTTTTATTCTTTATTTCATCAAATTTAAAATAATTTCTAATTTTCCTTTTGATTTCTTCTTAGACCCACAGGTTACACATATAAGTATGTTATGTAGTTTCTAAATATTTGAGCATTTTCCAAATACTCATCATTAATTCCCAATTTAATTCCAGAGAACAAAATTTGTAAAATGTGATTCCTTTTAAATTACTTGTTTTATAGCCTAAAATAAGGTCTTCCTTGGTAAATATATCTTGTGAACTTGAACAGAATGTGAATTCTGCTGCTGTAGATGGGATATATTATATATGTTAATTAGGCACACTGATAGCAGTTGAGGCCCATCTTTAGTGGCTGCTGCAAAGACACTGGCTGCAGTAGGGGAGGTGCAGCTGAGATTGTGTGCTCCGTGGAGCCAGCAGGAGCCAGAAACAGGTGGAAGCTATGCTCCTTTCTGAGTAGAAGAGGTGGGAGCCCCGCCCTCCTGGGTGCAGCTGCAGCCACACACCTGCAGCTGCAGACCTGGGCATCCCTATGCTCTCACAGGCCCTGAAAGCCTCCCTGTCCCCACAGGCTCAGAAGTACCTTCTCCCACTGCCTGGCTTCTCCCCACTCCCAGCAAAACCTCCAGTTTTGGAGTATAGTTGCAGCTGACCCCAGGTGTTGTCAGGACCTGGCCAGGTGTGCATGCACTTGTGGTGGTGCTGACATGCCAGCCCCCTGCTGTCTGGGTCCCCTCTGGACTTTGGGCACTGCAAGCATGGGAGAGAAGCTGGGAGGGTGCTGAGGGCAGCCTGGTGTGGGCCTGCAGGCACCCCTCAGCATGAACAGCCTGGGTGTTATGGACAACAGGTTGATGGCAGCAGGAGGCAGACAGGCTCCTAGGCAGAAAGGGGCAGGTGAAACCCCAACTTCAAGCCAGAGACAGCCTGAAGCTTGTGGGTCTGGACTGCCAGTTCCACAGACTAGAGTGAGAACTTAGGGTGCTTTTTCCAGGCCTGCCCATGGGCCAATCAACACACACTTCCTCCCATCTGAAGCTCATAAAAATCCTGTACTCAGCCAGACTCTGGCAGATGGACAACCTGCCTGTGGAGAAAAGTACCCTCTGTGTGTCTCTTCTCTGCTGAGAGCTGTACACTCATCAGCACAACCTGCCTGTGGATAGAAGCTACCCACTCTGGGACTCCTCTCTGCTGAGGGCTGCAGAGGTGTCATGATGACCTGTCTGCAGATAGGAGCTATCCACTTCCAGTCTCCTCTCCACTTAGGGATACACAGACATCAGGATGACCTGACTGTGGATAGGAGCTACCCAGTGCAAGTCTCCTCTCCACTGAGGGCTGCAGAGGTGTCGGGATGACCTGCCTGCAGAAAGGAGCTACCCACTTTGGTTCTTCTGAGAGCTATACTGTTGCTCAATAAAGCACCTCTGACCTTGCTCCACAACTGGAGGTATGTTCCAGTTGTTCACATACCTCATTCTTCCTGGATGCAGGACAAGAATTAGGGCACACCAAATGGTGGGACTGAAAAATCTGTAACACAAACAGGGCTGAAACAACGCTTAACCCTGACCCTCCCCACACCCTACCACTCATCACATTGCAGGCAACGAGGAAGAGAGAAGAGAGGAAAAAAGAGCTGTGGCCCTTTGGGGAACCCAGACTTAGGAGCTTCCCAAGCCAGGGCTCTGACACTCTCTTTGGGGCTCTGCAGTTGCTGGCATCTCCAAGCTTCCAGGTGTCACCACATTCCCTGGTACCTGCAGTGGAAGCTGCTTGTGGTAGGTCTGCTCCAGCTGTAGCAGCAGCAAGTCAGCAGTTGTGCCAATGCCTGGAACTGCCTATCCTGCCACAGCCAATATGCCTGGCTGTGTGTAGTGGCTGGACCCCATGCTCATGCACCCCTTGCTGCTCTCTACCTGGCTAACCCTTTGCAGGCATGGGATTTGAGCTGGTAGCAAAAGCTGAGCACAGCCTGTGAGGACACGTGGCCAGAACGAGCCCAAGTGAATCTGAGCAAAACTTGGGCAAAGGCACCACTGGCCACAGAGGTCTCTGGCTGGCAAATTAACACCCTAAGGATCCTGTGAGAACACTGGTTAATACTATTGTTGAGGCTAGGTGTGGTGGCCCAAGCCTTCACCTCCCACCATGATTCTGAGGTCTCCCCAGTCAAGTGGAATTATAAGTCCAATTAAGCCTCTTTTTCTTCCCAGTCTTGGGTATGTCTTTATCAGCAGCATGAGAACGGACTAATACAAAAATGAAAACCTCAGTTTCACATCCACAAGGAAGACAATTCTTCCAAACAATAAGTGGAAGAAAATTGGGAGATGAGATCGCATCCCTGGTTGATACTTCGATTTCAGCCTAGTGATATCTTGAGCAAAGAACTGAGTTAACTTGTATCTGATCTCTTAACCCAGAAAACTGAGTGTTAATCAATATGTGTGATTTGAACTACTGAGTGTGTGGCAATTTGTTACATAACAATATAAAATAAATACTCTGATTAATATTCTTTGCTTTGAAATATACTTGACATTAATATAGCCATGTAATCTATCTTTTGATTACTGTTAGCACGGTAAACATCTTTTTGCATCTCTACTTTTAACTTATTTGTACCTATATAGTTAAACTGAATTTCTTATAGGTAGCACATAGTTGGGTCTTGCTTTTTAATCTAATCTAACTATGATGTTTGGTTCATCTGTATTTCATGTGATTAGATGACTGGGTTTAAGTCTATCATCTTACTTGTTTTCTATTTGTCCCATCTTTTCTTTGTAATTATTTTTATAGTTAAATTTTATCTCCTTTGTTGCCTTACCAACAAAACTTTTGTGTTATTTTACTGTTTACTTACAGTAATAACTACCTTGAAGTAGCATAAATCATTTCACATATAAGAATGGTAAAACAATACTCCCATGTCTCCCCTTTGGGCCTTTGTATCAAAATGTCAGATATTTTGCTTCTTTTAATATAATTTTTTTTTTTTTAAGAGAGAAATTCCCACTCTGTTGCCCAGGCTGGAGTGTCGTGGCACAAGCACAGCTCACTGAAGCTTTGAACCCCTGGATTCAGGTGATCCTTTTGCCTCAGATTCCTGAGTAGCTGGGACTGCAGAAGCACATCACTGCATTCAGATTTTTAAATTTTTTTCTAGAGATGGGGTCTTGCTATATTGCAAAGGCTTGTCTTGAACCTCTGGGCTCAAGCAATCCTCTGGCTTGGCCTCAAAAAGTGCAGGGATTACAGGTGTGAGCCACCATGCCCAGCCCACTACTTTTATTTTTGAAAGATATTTGCATTGGATATAGAATTCTAGATTGATTGTTTTTTCTTTCAGTACTCTGAAGATCTCACTGAACTGTTTTTTTGTTTGCAGTGTATTTGATGAGTAGTCTGATCTTTGTTCTGTATATAATGTCTTACCCTTAGCTATTTTTAAGATTTTCTCCATCCCTAATTTTAGGCCATTTGATTACATCGCTTTTGAAATATTTCTTTAATGTTTCTTGTGTCTGGTGTTTGTTGAACTTCTTAGATCTCTGGGTTTATAGTTTTCATCAAACTTGAACAAATTTTATCCATTTTTTTCTGCAGATATTCTTTTCTGTCCCATTCTCAGTCTGGTAACTCCAATTACACATAACTTGAAGTTCTCCCACAATTGACAGATTTTCTGGACTTTTTCTTCAGTCTTTTTTCTCTCATTGTTTCATTTTGAAATTTTTTTTTTTTTCTTGAGACAGAGTTTCACTCTGTTGCCCAAGTTGGGGTACAATGGTGCAATCTCAGCTCATTGCAACCTCTGCCTCCTGGGTTTAAGCGATTCTCCTGCCCCAGTTGCCTGGACTACAGGTGTACACCAACAAATCCAGTTAATTTTTGTATTTTTGGTAGAGACAGGGTTTGGCCATATTGGCCAGGCTTCACTGTTTCATTTTGAATGGTTTCAATGGTTACCACCTCAACTTCACTAATCTTCTAGAATGTCTAATCTGTCTCATCCAGTGTATTTCTGATCTCAGACATTATAGCTTTTCATCTGTAGACATTAGGTTTGGGTTTCTTAAATACATTATATGTCTTTATTTGCTCAACCTTTCCTCCAGCCTCTTTAATGCATGGGATAGTTACAGTTACAGTGTCTTTGTCTACTAATTCTATTGTATATGTCATTTTTGCATTGGTTTTACTTAGTTTTTTTTTCTTTTCACTATTGGCTATATTTTCCTGCTTCTCCACATGCCTGGTAATTTTTTATAGTATGGCAGCCATTAAAAATTTTACTTTAGCTATTTTTATATTCCTAAAAATATTCTTCAGCTTTGTTCTGGGATATAGTTATTTGAAAACTTATTTCAAATAAGGATCCAAAGTTTGGTGTATTAATAAATAATTAATTCTCTTGATGAATTAATTGCTTTATAACTATAAAATTGCTTTTAAACTTCATGAGGTGGGAACCTAAGTAACATTCAGTCTATGGTTTACTTAACTACATTATGGAGCAAAACTCTCCGAGTAGTCTACCCAATGCCCTGTGAATTATGAACCTGTCCACTCTGCTGGTGGGAACAGGAAGTATTACTAACATTGTTTATGCTCCAGAAATTGTTCCTTATAACTGTTTTGAGTGGTTCTTGTTTTGGCCTCAGGAAATTTATTTACATGCATTCCCTGACCAGTTGTCTGCTAAACATTTGAGTAAAATCCTCTTATGATCCCTGGAGTTCTCCATGGAGCTCTATCTGGCATATTGTCCTGCAAGGTCAAGTCACCATGGCCTCCTCAAACTTCTAGCACCATGTCCATTTCTGCTGATAACTACATGTTTTTCCCTCCTTTAGCTGTAATCTGGAAACTCTCTCCACAAAGCAAGCTGGGTAATTGTAGGGCTCACCTGGTTTATTTCCTGTCTTTCAGAGATCAAAATCTTTCTATAGCCTGGTGAACAATATCTTGAAAACTATTTTTTTTTTTTTTTGAGATGGAATCTTGCTCTGTCATCCAGGCTGGTGTGCAATGACACAGTCTTGGCTTACTGCAACCTCTGCCTCCCAGGTTCATGATTCTCATGCCTCAGCCTCCCAAGTGGCAGGCATGCAACACCACGCCCAGCTGATTTTATGTATTTTTTAGTAGAGACAAGGTTTTACCATGTTGGCCAGGCTGGTCTCAAACTCCTGGTCTCAAGTGATCTGGCCTCCCAAAGTGCTGGAATTACAGGCAAGAGCGACCATGCCTGGTCCTTGAAAACTATTTTTTAATCTATTTTGTATAATTTTGTTAGATCTTTCACGTATGAGGGCAAATACAGTACCTATTAATCCATGTTGACAGGAAGTAGAAGTTCAGGATTTCTTTTCTGGATTTGACCCTTAAATGTTTTCCAGATATGTTAAATTTAAGATGTCAAATGTTACTGAAAGGTGAAGTAAGATGAGGACTAATAAATGACCACTGTTTTTTTAGGGAAATGGTCACTTTTTCATTTTTAGTGAAGTGGTGGTCCTGGTGGTGATGGCTGAAAGCCAATTAAAGAAGGTTGAGAAGAGAATATGAGGTAAAAAAAAGTAGAGAGAACAAGTCAGCTCTTCTGAGGACTCTTAGTGAAAAAAGGGTAGGTGGGGGATGAAATAGGAAGAAGATATGCAGTTTAGCAAGGTTTTTTTGTTGTTGTTTTTGAGACAGAGTCTCGCCGTCACCCAGGCTGGAGTGCAATGGCACGATCGCAGCTCACTGCAACCTCCACTTCCCAGGTTCAAGATATTCTCCTGCCTCGGCTCCCAAGTAGCTGAAACTACAGGTGCATGCCACCACGCTCAACTAATTTTTTTTGGTATTTTTAGTAGAGACGGGTTTTTCACTATGTTGGCCAGGCTGGTCTTGAACTCCTGACCTTGTGATCCGCTGCTGCCTCGGCCTCCCCGAGTGCTGGGATTACAGGTATGAACCACCACACCTGGCCTGGAGGTTTTTAAAGAATAGGAGATATTATGGTACATTTTAAAGTTGACGAATATGCTCTAGGAGAGAGGCAAAACTGATGAGGAGGGAGGCGGTATAAGATAGGGACAATGAGAGATATTAAAGGAACAAGGTAGGAAATGAAACAAAGGCAGTAAGTGGATGCTCCTGCGGAAACACATTGGATGCACACTGCCACTGTCTTTTTGTCTCCTTTGAGTTATTGGCTGGGCTGGCTGGGTGGCTGCTATAACTGCAATAAGGGCAGATAAGTATTTCCAGGACTATTAAAAATTATATTTCACAGAGAAATACTTTGAGAAATGGTGAAATTTGTATCCTAATATCAAAGAGTTTTACGTAATCTATAATAAAGCTAAATTATATGCTTATGGCATGTAAGTTATAATACAACTTGTAATACAGTACTATTAAGGCCAGAGTTCTGCTACATTAATAAGCTGAAAAGACTCTCCTGCCTAAGAACTAAATAATTGTTACTAAGATTATTTTAATAGAAAATGTGTTTCAAGATTTTTAATTAAATATTTATAGAAAGCTTTTGAACTCTGCTCAGTTTTAAGTTAAGGATGGCGAACTTACCAGTCTTCATCAGCTAAAAGCCTCAGAGCTTCTGTCAGTGCTATTTCTGGTTTACAGAATGGCCGTAGTTCTGATAAATCCATTATTTCTGGACTATGAGTGACAGGAGGCATCCTTTCTTTATACTGCAAAATGGCTCCAGTAGATGTTTCACCTAAAACAAAATATATTAAACTATAAGAGAATCTTTTTTTTTTTAAATTTTCATCTTTTTGAGATGGAGTCTCACTCTGTTGCCCAGGCTAGAGTGCAGTGGTACAGTCTTGGCTCACTACAACCTCCACCTCTCAGGTTCAAGCTATTCTCCTGCTTCAGTCCCCCAAGTAGCTGGGACTACAGACATGCACCACCATGCCCAGCTAATTTTTGTATTTTTAGTAGAGATGGGGATTTTACCATGTTGGTCAGGCTGGTCTTGAACTCCTGGCCTCAAGCAATCCATCCTCTTCAGCCTCCCAAAATACTGGGATTACAGGCAAGAGCCACTATACCCAGCAAGTTCTCTTTATACAAAGGATACAAACATTATTCTGACTATAGCTAAAATAGTACTATTAGTTTAGTCTTGAGGAAAATTACACTACCCAGAAACCAAAACTATTGAAAACTTTACTTTTTATATATAAATTAACAAATTATATTTAATATAAATATGTAAGTAGTTTCAGTCATGAGTCATAACAAAGTCTAGCTTTATTTTAATAGCTAAAAGCAAAAGAAGCAGTATGATCCCATTTTGTAACAATGTGGATATATACCTGTTTTACAACTGAGAATTGAAGATGAAGTTTCATGGATCTATATGTAGAATTCTAGTTGATTTTCTCTATTGATATAGAATTAGTGGCCTATTACAAATTCTAAGACCATGTGTAGCAATAAGAATGATGTTTCCTCTATAGTAAGACATTGACCAAGCATTTTCCAGATGTAAGGCACTGCACTAGAAGTTGCAGAAACAAATCATTCTCAATGCTCAGGATAGTGCCCTTGAGAGCACTGTATAATTCGAGACACATGCAGTGGAGGTATGATAAAGTAAAGAGTCAAATAGAATAGATTTACTGGCTCTTTTTCCATATTAAGAGATTTATTTTTTTTCAATGGAGTCTTGCTCTGTTGCCCAGGCTGGAGTGCAATGGTGCAGTCTAGACTCACTGCAAGCTCCGCCTCCCAGGTTCAAGCAATTCTCCGGCCTCAGCCTCCCACGTAGTGGGATTACAGGTACCTGCCACCACACCTGGCTAATTTTTGTATTTTTAGTAGTGATGGGGTTTCCCCATGTTGGCCATGCTGGGCAGGCTGGTCTCGAACTCCTAACCTTGTGATCTTCCTGCCTTGGCCTCCCAAAGTGCTGGGATTATAGGTGTGAGCCACCATGCCACGCCAAGAAATATTTTTAAAAAGGAAATGTTAGTCACTATAAAGTAACTATCATCAAAAATTATTTATTAACCATGTTATCTGTGATAAAATGTTACAGGAAATCACAAATATAAGAATCTCACTTTCAAAAAATTTATCACATATCTAACAAAAAAATGTAAAAAGGTAAATATGATGCTTTGAATTACTACAGTGATAAATCAGTACCAGATTTTGTTATATGAGAAAGATGATGTATGACTTAAAGAATATAACAGACCCCTTTCACTTTTTTTTTAATGGTTCAGGTGTGCCCTCATTAGGCTTCACATATAAGACTGACATGTATAAACAGAATCCTCCAGCTTCAGAATATCCCAATCCTAAAATAATAGCATATTAAAAAATAGCACAATTATCATTTATTATCTTCCCTAGTATTGTGCTAAGTGCTTCATTTATACTACCTAATTTAATTTGTTCAACAACTCTATGTAATAATTATTATTCCTACGTTACAGATGAAGAAACCAATGTGGAAGTTTTAAGAATTCCCTTAATATATCTAATGCATTCCCACTCTCATGAAACAATAACTCATTAGAAAGAGATACAGATAAACACCAAGTTTTCAACCTTGAGATTATAACAATATCAAGTACTGACACCTATCTTTGTTTTGTGTTCACCAGAAGAATGCTATTTTGGAAAAGGAGGTATATAGAATATCAACTGAAAGTAGTGATGCTCACATAAAGTTTTTTTTTAAACTTCTACTTTGTTGTAGACCGATACTTTTATAAAGTACAATGAAAGTGTTGTGGCACTGTCAAATTATTAAAATAATTTCTAGAAGCAAAATATTGTTTGCATTTATGTTATCATAGATAAGTAATAAACAGTTCATAAAGTCTATGAAACGCACTTTGAGTAGCAGTGATCTAATGGATAGAAAGTTTCTTAAGTAGAGACATATCCAATAAGAATTTAGCTATTAAAAATTATTTCTGCTAATATGTTCATAACCATAGAGCTGAACAACTATACTCTGAGCTGATCAACAAACAAACTGTGTAAGCATATTCTTATTTTCAAATAATATCAGGGTGACTTCAAAGTACTCTCCTTATACTTCTCAGAAACCTAATCCTTAAAGCCTACATTATAGTCAGAAATCACAAAATTAGTTGATGTCTCCATCAAGAATGAATGCCCCAAATTTATGATATATTACTATTTGTAATATTTGTATTTTTAGTTTTATTTTTCATACTGACTAAGTTAGGTAGGAAGTTTGTGGGTTTTTCTCTCCCTGAATATTATGACAATAACAAATAGTGAATTATCACGCCATTGCACTTCAGCCTGGGCACAAGAGTGAGACTCCATCTCAAAAACAAACAAACAAGACAAAACTTAAATTCCACTTACTTTCAGATGCCATTTTCTCAGTTCCTGTATGTTTCATTCGTTCCCAGGAATTTTGTTCCTTCTTTTCACAATCTTTACTGTGAAACAGTTCTTTCTCTTCTTTTCTCTTTTGTCTCATCTTGTTATAAGTAGATTTTGAAATACAAACTTTAGCCTGAATGAAAAAGTTGAAAGTCTGAAAATATTCAGGGAGTTTGATATTTAAAATATCTTCATCTCAGATAACCTATTTGTGTCTGAGGATATTAGTCTGTCACTACTTGAGTATATCCTAGAAAACAGAATATATACATACATATATATGTATATATAATACAGTAAAATATAAAGTATACGGAGAGTATAAAGTATATTATATACTTTATCCCCAGAATGAGAATGCCTTTATTAAGTGGGAAGGGTGAATAATCTATTATTTAAATGATTAAGGATCAAAATTTCTTTTTTTTTTCCTTGAGACAGTTTCACTGTGTTGCCCAGGCTGGAATACAGTGGCATGATCACAGCTCACTGCAGCCTTGACCATCTGAGCGCAAGTGATCCTCCTACCTCAGCCTCCCAAGTGGCTGGGACCACAGGCAACACACCACCACACCTGACTAATTTTGGTAATTTTCCTAGTGACAGGGCTTTGCCACATTGCCAAGGCTCAAAATTTCAATTGTGCCAAGATGTAAAAAATTTTAATCAAAATACTTTCACCACCCCACATCTGATATACACAAAACAATGACCTATTGTAAGCTTAAATTTATTCTAATAATTAGCAAATAATCTTACATCTTTGTCATTCTCAACATCAAGATATGATGAAATACTTTGCTGGACTGATCTTCCATAAATCCCTGATGGTGGTTCAATACTTTGTTTAATTGAAAATGCATCCCCATTTTCCAAAGAAGATATCATTGATTGGCTGCAGGTTGCTGGTGCTGAACTTAAACTTCCAAATACGCCTGAAATCAACCAACCACCAAACAGTCATTAACTAATTATGTGATGATACTCTAGATAACAAAGTTTAAGGCAAGGCTCTTGCCTTCAAGAATCAAACACCACAGTAAGAAAAACATGCTAAATAATTATAAAATATAAAATAAGTATAAAATATAAAAACAAATACCCTAACAGGGCAATAATATAAGAGGTGCCACTTATCATAATAAGTGAGAGCTGTATATTATAAGTGGTAAGAACATATAAAGAAAACATTGCTGTGAGCTGTTTTTATTTGAGATAGTCTCGCTCTGTCACCCAGGCTGGAGTGCAATGGCATAATCTCCACTCACTGCAACCTCCACATCCCAGGCTCAAGCAATTCTCCCACTTCAGCCTCCTGAATAGCTAGGACTACAGATGCACAGTACCAGGTCTGCCTAATTTTTTGGATTTTTTTGTAGAGATGGGGTTTTGCCATGTTGTCCAGGCTGGTCTTGAACTCCTGAGCTCGAGATCTGCCCACATGAGCCTCCCAAAGTACAGGGATTACAGGAGTGAGCCACTGTGCCTGGCAGAGCTGGGTGTTTAAGATGGTTTCAAGGAGCAAGGATTTGAGCTGGGATTTGAAGACAGGAGAGGGATCTGTATAAAGTAAAGAAGGAGAGGGGAAATCCTGAGATGGGGATGTTTACATGTAGAGTTGAAAGTTTATAAAGCATTTATGTGAAGCAAATAAAGCATTGCTTGGGCAAATGAATAACAGGAAGTAAGTTTACAAGAGTAAGCTGTAGCCAATCTGAGGAGGGTTTTAAGACTATCAAGCAAAGAAGTTAGGAAAGATTTTAAGATGTTTATTCTATTTCATTATACTGAACAAAAATCAGATACATACACTCAATGTATATCACCACATTCTAGTTTTCAATTAAAATAGAAAATAGCTTTAAAGGATACTTGCAATTAACTTGTTCCCTTAGCCCTCTTAAAATATATAACAGGAGTTTAATTTTCACTTGTCTAGATTTTGTATGGAAGATAATTTTATTAATTTATATTGATTATTAAGCTGATAAATAAGGGCTATTTGAATTTAAACTAATGCTAAAAGTATCTAAGCTAAACTATATCATAATATATCTCTCTGAAAATTAATGACATGAGTTTACTATAGTTTCATTAGAAAATAGAAATGTGAAGGTAAGTAATCACTTCTAATGCTTTTAATGAAGATAATGTAATACATTTTTAAAAAGAAGCTCCACTCAACACTTGAATTACATTCTTTTCTATTCCTTATTGATAGGCTTTGCGTATCTATGATGAATACATATAATTAAGAGTGAAATAACTTTGAAATACCTTTTCCAACAACTACTACTGAGTTTTCTGATAAAGTCTTTGTGGATGTGAAGTCAAAACTGGAAATTTGCTGTGTATTTGATGACGACCCTGTAAATCCTAAAAAAAAAAAGAAAAAACCCAAAACAAATATTTAAAAATATTTGACTACGTAGTATCTTAGGATATTGTAATATGGTCTTTTAAAACTGAAAATTTATTTTGAACCAAGAATTGACAGTTTATTCACACGTTAAGTTATTACTTCACTATAAATATAACTAGAATACTAGAATGGACTAGGCACTAGAGAGAAAATAAACCTTCTTTTCCTTAAGGAGTTTACACATGTCACAGTGAGGTGTGAGAGGCACACAAGTGAATTACCACAGCATGATAATCAGGCAACAAAAGGGTCATCAAAAAGGAAATCCGCTGACATCAGAAAACAAATCAGGTCAAATCTCACAGCAACCTGTACTTTTCTAGGTTAACTTTTATCTTTGTTTCTGATTCTTTATAACTGCACTAGGCTGTAAGTTCCATGGGGATAGGATGTATGTCTAGTTTTGATGATTATTCTTTCCCAGAGCCTAGAACAGTGTTTGGCACATACTAGGTACTCAATAAATAAATGTTAAATGAATGTATCGAGGCAAAAAAAAAAGAGAAATATATATTACTTCAGGTTTTATGAAAGAAAAGCCATGAAACAATGGAAAATTCAATCATATAACTGAATTTTAAAAATTAAGCATTAGATAGATTCTTTTGTTAACTGCTAGTGCTAATAGTAACCTGGCTTTATGTGAAAATGGCAGAGATTAAAAAAAGAAATCCATGTAAGTGACCATTTTTCATATTTCTTCTTATATTATGGAATAATCAAAATTAGGACACACTTTTATAGCACACATTAACTAACAGAAACACCGAGTAGCCCAAAAATGTGTTCTGTGACAAAGGGAAACCAATCTCAGTAAATGGAACAATTTGCTCAACAGTCCACACAAACATAAAATCTATAGACTATCAAGAGATGAATGAATGATTAGACAAATCTCATCAGAAAAAATGTAAAGGACATGTCATTTCCAAGTAGTTTAACTTCATTCATAAGAATCATTTTTAATGTACTTTTATTTTATTTTTTATTTTTATTTATTTATTTATTTTTTGAGGCGGAGTTTCACTCTTGTTACCCAGGCTGGAGTGCATGGCGCCATCTCAGCTCACCGCAACCTCCGCCTCCTGGGTTCAGGCAATTCTCCTGCCTCAGCCTCCCGAGTAGCTGGGATTACAGGCACGCACCACCGTGCCCAGCTAATTTTTTGTATTTTTAGTAGAGACAGGGTTTCACCTTGTTGACCAGGATGGTCTCGATCTCTTGACCTCGTGATCCACCCGCCTCGGCCTCCCAGAGTGCTGGGATTACAGGCGTGAGCCACCGCGCCCGGCCTGTACTTTTATTTTTTATGCTGTATTTTTTTCTTAAAGAAATGTTGAAAGAAACATTGTTCACTAAGTCTCAGTTCTAAAATATGTAGAAAAACATGTTTAAAGGCTTCTTTACACACAAATATCATTATATAATTTTTCTTTGTTATACTACTTCCATCTAATTCAAATACAGAAAGAGTAAATAGTATATCATGGGCTCTAATGTACTAATACTTCAAGCATGCTCCACTTTCTCAAGTCATTAATTGACACAGCAGACATGATCTAGACCATTACAACTAGGAAAGGACCCCTAGGTTCTGCACCTACAAACTAAGAAAAGTAGTGTTAAAAGTGCGAGAGCATGGGGGACGAAGAGAGAAATAAAAAAAAAATTAAGCTGATGCAAGATTATTAAGGGTCTTAAAAGTTATGCTACAGGGCCACGCATGGTGGCTCATGTCTGTAATCCCAGCACTTTGGGAGGTCAAGCAGACAGATCACCTGAGGTCAGGAGTTTGAGACCAGCCTGACCAACATGGTGAAACCGTCTCTACTAAAAACACGTGGCACACACTTGTAATCTCAACCACTCATGAGGCTGAGGCAGAAGAATCGCTTGAACTCAGGAGGCAGAGATTGCAGTGAGCGGAGATCGCATCACCACTGCACTACAGCCTGGGTGACAAGAGTGAGATTCTGTCTAAAAACAGAAAAAAAGTTATGCTATGGAGTAGAACTTTGTTCTGTAGAAAACAGAGAACCACTCAAGGTTTTTGTTTTTTTTCCCCAGGTTTTGTTTTATGTGTCAATGAAGGTTTTGAGGATGGAAAAGATGATGACTGTATTTTAGAAAGACAATTCTGGAAGATTATGTAGCCTGGATTTAAAAGGAATGAAAATAAGAGGGCAGCCATACCAGAAAGCTTTTGTAATTATCCAGGGAAGTGGTAATGAGGGCCCAAATTATAACTGTGGCAGCAGATACATTAAGTTACTAAGAGTAAATGATAGGATGAGCCACTTCCTAAATGTGGAAGGTAAAAGAGAAATAGACAAAAATGACTCTAAAGGGTTAAGCCTTCATAACTGGGAAAATGGTAATGCTACTAACAAAAATGGACATGAAAGAAAGAGAAATAGGCCTAGGAAGAAAGTTAATTTTATGAAGTAGAATTAATTGCTGGCTAAAAGATGTAAATATGTTTATGATTCTGCTGTCTAGAAAAGGAAGCTACTGGCAGTGAATTAACATATTCAACAGTTATTTCAAAGCAATTTTTAAAAAAAGAAATAGGCGGGTGATGAAAAATGAGAACACATGGACACAGGGAGGGGAGTACTAACCACTGGGGTCTACTGGGGCAAAAGGGGAGGGCCAGTGGGGGGGGGAGCTGGGGAGGGATAGCCTGGGGAGAAATGCCAAATGTGGGTGAAGGGGAGAAAGGAAGCAAAACACACTGCCATGTGTGTACCTGTGCAACTGTCTTGCATGTTCTGCACATGTACCCCAAAACTTAAAATGCAATAAAAAATTAAAAAAAAAAATAATAAAAATATCTTTAAAAAAAAAGAATTAAAAAAATTATATTAGGTTATGAGTTACTTTTAAGATGAAAAGCATTTTTGTCCTTGATTTTCTTTACATGAGAACTAAAACATATAAATAAATATGAAAAAATCTTATTCTTTTTTGTAAAACAATAAACAACTTATTGCTGCCAAATAGAACAGACATTAAATTATATCACAGACTAAATTTTAAGAAATTAAAAAAAGAAGTTTCTAATCAAATTCCATCTTACTCGATTTAAGTTACATGCACAAAAAATATTCATGTCCTAAAATGCCTGATTGCCTGCTCATATATAATTTAAGATAATCAGAACTAGCAGGCCGGGTGCAGTGGCTCACGTCTGTAGTCCCAGGACTTTGGGAGGCCAAGGCAGGTAGATCACTTGAGGCCAGGAGTCGAGATCAGTCTGGCCTACATGGTGAGACCCTGTCCCTACTAAAAAATACAAGCTATTAACCAGGCGTGGTGGCATGCACCTATAATCGCAGTTACTAGAGTGGCTGAGGTACAAGAATCACTTGAACCCAAGAGGTGGAGGTTGCAGTGAGCTGAGATCAAGCCACTGCACTCTAGCCTGAGCAACAGAGCAAGACTGTCTCAAAACAAAAAAACAAAAAAAAACACACAGTACAGAAGTTGACCTTATCATGACCACAACTGCTAAGCATGTAAAAATAACAGCTTTTTATTTACTAATATATTTTAGATTACAGGTGCACCTTCTAATTATTAGGTTGGTACAAATGTAGTTTGCAATTAAAAATGGCAAAAGTCGCAAATACTTTGGCACCAACCTTGTATTTATTTAAATATTTATATCCTTCAAAACTACTTTTTTTTATTGTAAGGGAAATTTTAAAATTGCAGCTGTAATAGGATCTCTTAAGCAATAGGCAGAGCAGTCACAGAGGTATTACTTGCTACTAAGTTAGAAAAAAAAAAGTAATTCTTAACAGTGGTTAATGATAACAGCAAAGCTTTCCCATGTTCTACCAGAGGAATATTACATTCCTGTTGTCCCAACTTTACTCCATGGTTACAACCTAACTGGACATCTGGGAGTCATCAGTCCACATCACATCTTCCATCCCATATTAATGGCAAAATATCTTCTAAAAATTGTGTGTGTATGTGGTGTATGTGTGTGTGTGTGTGTGTGTGTGTGTGTGTGTGTGAGATTTATGTACATGTATCTGGTGCACGTCCTGGGGGCAAAAGTCAGCAGAAATTCCCTAGTGTTAATATCATGAGCAGCTGCTTCCTTGCACTGGCTCCTCAGGGAAGCCCATAAATCATATACAAAGCCTTGAGTTCTCCTGTTTGGCAACATTATTTGAGCAACAACACATCAGCAGCAGAGTAAGATGAAAAATCTCAAAATGGAGAATTCTCATTAATTTTTCTTTATTGGTATACTTCAGAAGAATTTTGATTTAAATATTCAATCTTAAAAATTAACTTGTCATGAAATTTACGAATCTTTTGTATGCTTACAATGTCTTGGGTATTCCTTATTTTGTATTTCTAAAGCGCTAGATGAAGTATCATGTGAACTATCATCTTCAAAATCACCACATCCAAACCTATAGTTCATGTGTTGACCAGTTACACTTACATTGGATGTTGTAATCCCTATAAAATATTTGAATGATTCAAGTAATATTATACATAATGTACATATCTCCCCTCGAAACCTATCTCAACTTCTAACCTTTTAAAAAGGTCAGTAACATAGTATTTAGAAACTCTAACATTATAGTACTTTTTAAAGTTTTGTACTATTTTAAAGTATGTAATACTTTTCCTAACTGCTAAGAACATTTATTATACGCTATATTACAACATTTCATAAAATAGGCTTTAAAATTACAATGAGGCCAGATGTGGTAGATCACACCTGTAATCCCAGCACTTCAGGAGGCTAAGGCAGGAAAATTGCTTGAGCCCAGGAGTTCAAGACCAGCCTGGGCAACATAGCAAGCCCCTGTCTCCATCAAAAAGTAAAATTAAAAAATTCACTGGGGGCCAGGTGGGGTGGCTCATGCCTATAATCCCAGCATTTCAGGAGGCTGAGGTGGGTGGATCCCGAGGTCAGGAGTTCAAGACCAGCCTGGCCAAGATGGTGAAACTCGGTCTCTACTAAAATACAAAAAAATTAGCCGGGTGTGGTGGCAGGCACCTGTAATCCCAGCTATTTGGGAGGCTGAGGAAAAGAATTGCTTGAACCTGAGAGGTGGAGGTTGCAGTGAGCCAAGATCACACCACTGCACTCCAGCCTGGGTGAAAATGCAAGACTCTATCTCAAAAAAAAACCAATTCACTGTTTGTGATGGTGCATGCCTGTGGTACCAGCTACTCAGGAAACTGAGGCAGAAGGATTGCCTGAGCGCCGAAGTCAGGGCTACGGTGAGCTACGAATATACCACTGCACTCTGCCACGGTGACAGAGTGAAACCCTGTCTCTTGGAAAAAAAGAAAAAAGGTAGGTATCTAATGCAATGTTAAAAAGAGATAATTAAATATACTGTATGTGTTTTAAAAATATGGCAAGTTTTTTTCTTTTTTAAGACAGAGTCTCCCCAGTCTAGAGTGCAGTGGCACGATCACAGATCACTGCAACCTCTGTCTTGCAGACTCAAGCGATCCTCTCACCTCTGCCTCCCTAGTAGCTGGGACCAAAGGTGCACACCACCACCTCCAGCTTATTTTTTTGCAATTTTTGTAGAGACAGGATCTTACCATGTTGTTCAGGCTGGTCTCGAACTACTGAGCTCGAGGATCCGCCCACTTCAGCCTACCAAAGTGCTGGGATTATACGTGTGAGCCACTCTGCCCGGCCTGACAAGTACTTTTTAAATGACATCTTTAACTTTACACTTAAAAAATTTTTTTAAAATCCAGAATTTAAAAACTGTGGCCTAAAAGATACCTATTTCCCCATTTCTCTTTTCTCCTATTCCCAGGAAAAATGAAAAACTTGAAAATGGGGAAAACTCAGTAATTTTTCTTTATTGGTATGCTTACAGACGATTCTGATTTAGAGATCTTCAATCTTAAAAATTAACTCACCATGAAATTTATCCTCATACACTGGTTCACTAGTGAGGCAGTAAACTACATAGAGATAAAGAGCTCAGTATCTGGAATCATGCTTCCTGGTTTTAAATTATAGTACTGCCATTCAAACTGCTGAGAAGACTTGGATAAGTCACTTAACCTTATTTATGAAATAGAGAGAATAGTACTTCTTCTACAACTTTTGTCAGGATTAAATGAAGAAAATACATGTAAAGTCCTCAGTGCAGTGCCTAACACATTTCAAGTACCCAAATGTTATTAGATCCATAACTAAAAACAAAAGCAAACCCTAATGTAGGCCTCCTTCTAATGAATAATAAAGCTTTTAATTTACATTTGAATGTTTAAACTCTTTATGAATACTCTGCAGCTATTACAACTGTAAAACTTACACTAAATGCAAAATTCTAGGCAATATATGAGTCATGGTTCATTTTTATATATAGCTTATAAATAAATCATTAAGCAATACTGATGTGTATATGCATGTGTGTGTGTGTGTGTGTGTGTGTGTGTGTGTGTGTGTGTATATATTCTTTTCTTTTAGACAGGGTCTTGCTTTGTCACTCCACCCAGGCTGGAGTGCAATGGCTCTATATTGGCTCATTGCAGGCTCAGCCTCCTGGGCTCAAGCAGTTCTCCTGCCTCAGCCTCCCAAATAGCTGGGACTACAGGTGCATGCCACCATACTTGGCTATTTTATTTTTTATTTTTTTGATAGAGATGGGGTTTTGCTATATTGCCCAGGCTGGTACCAAGCTCTTGGGCTCAAGTAATCCACCTTCCTCAGCCTCCCAAAGTACTGTGACTACAGGTGTAAGCCACTGTGCCCAGTGAAATGGAAATATACTTAAAAAAAATAATTTTTTATTTGAATAAAAACAGGATGGTGAGAAGAGGAGGCAGCTGGTGGCAACTGGCTAGAAAGGACTATAGAATAAAGGGCACTAAGTAAGTTTGTAGAGAAAATATTCAAGAATATCTGATAATTGAATCATAGAGAATTTGTGGAAGTAACACAGGTATCTTTATAAATTCTTAGTCTTGATAGTTAATTCATAAAGTAAGATTCAAGCATACTGGCTTTGGGTGGAAATGTTTTCTATTAATAGGCAACACTAATCTAATACTATAGGAGAAAAGATTATTATAACATTATTCAGAAAATTTAGCACAATTTGCTTTAATAGATGGTGGTAGAATATAGGTGAAATTTTTACATAATTGTTATTTTTGTGTTTATCTTACAATAGTCTTTATTCTGAGCATTATCATTTTTATATTTTAGCAATTAAATCACAATAAATTTGTAGGAATCACTTGTTTACTGAAAATAAAGCAAACTGAAATATATAAAATCCAAAAACATTAGCAACTTATTTTGAGAAAAGGTTAAATTTAATATAATGAATTCACTAATAGTAGTATTTCTAAAACTTGATCCTAGAAATACCTAATATATATTCTTCCAAAAGTGTGTTTCATTTGTACAAAGTAGATACAACCTGGCAATCAGATGTCTCTTCAATTTTATATAAATACTTGAAAAATTATAGATTTATTAGGATGATTAGCCTTAAAAAGGATTAAGGATAAATGTATGTATTTCTTTGGGTCACTCTCTCCCTTTAGAGGACAAAGTACATACTGAGTGCCTACTATGCACTAGCTGCTTTATATACATCATTAACTTAGATTTGCACTACTCTTCTCAAGGTTTATGTTGTCGGAGAGGGAACTAAGTTCCAAAGCAAATGAATACTATTATTAGACATCAGACTGTGGTGCCAGCTCACGTTTTGGACTCCAAAGCACATATATACTATCTTTGTATGCCTAGAAACATACAAAGCACATATATACTGTCTTTCTATGCCTTGTTAACACCAGTATTATGCAAGCCAGTATACTAAGCACACCTGGTTAAGTCACACATTCATGATTATGACAAGCACTTGGTAGATAATCAGAGGGAAATAATCTTTGGGGATCAAGAATCTGAGAGTTGAAGAAAAGTAAAGTAGTATCATTATAAAAGGTGTTAGTACAAGATGTAATGGTCTAACAAAAGAGGTAATAATCTTGTTTGTGAATTAGGGAAGGCTTCCTAGAGAAAGCAACTGCGCTGTTTTCACCGGTAAAGAGGGTGTGGTATGGATTCCAGATTTCATCCAGATAAAATCATATGTGCAATTGCAGAGATAGGAAACGGTACTGATGGTGGTCTGATTTAACTGGATACAAACAGGTAATACACAAGATACAAAGAAGGGAGTGAAAAATGAGGCTGGAGAGATAGGCAGGGACCAGATCATGAAAGGATGTCCTGAATGAATTCAGGCTAGCCAGTATAGTCAGATTTGCATTGTGAGGAACAGTTTCAAAGTGAGTGAGATTGAAGCTGGGAGAAAACTTAGGAGGCTAAGTAGGTAATAAATGAGGAAAAATGTGAACTCAAGCCATGGTAGTGGGGATTAAAAAGAGGGGTTGAGATTAAGACATATTTAAGAGCCATTAATTGAAAATCTTAGCAAATAATCAAATAAATATATGTTTTTTTAGGAAGGTAGTTATAATGTAAAGCAGCCTTAAAGTTGTTAGGACTTTTACATTAGATCATGTGAAACTAAACATCATATCCCAATTTGTTACAATTTATTCACAAGTCAACATAGTTTTACTAATTATAATGAAGAATCACATGCAGTTCTCACCCTAAATAGACCATAATGCAAATCTTTTGTTAATTGACTACTAATTACTAAATCTATTATCTGAGAAGTGATGTTATAAAACCAGAGACTTACAGGTTAGTTCACAAAAATTCTTAACACAAGATACACATGAATTTAACTACTATCAATAGTTAAATATTGTTTTTAAAGAAAACTGTCTTCCAGAATGCCCAGTGGTTCCCAAACTATGCTGCATATTAGAGTCATATGAGGGGTTTTCTAAACTCTGACAGCCAACACCAACTAAATAACACTACACACCAACTTCAGAAAAATATCTGGGTATAGGAGACAAGAATAGGTATGCCAATGAGCTTTAAAAGAGATCGATGATTCAGGTAAAAAAATACTTTTTCTTCCAAAAACAATAAAATATTTATTCTAGTCAAATGGACCTTTTAAGGAGTGAAAAACTGATTAGTCCTACTGGTATCCACACAACTTGAAATCTGAAATGCACTTGCTATCATTTTTTTATATCATTTGAAAATCATACTTTTTATAAATTATTTTCATAAACAGTCATAGAATACCTGTGCTGGGGCTTTGTTCAGCAATATGAGAGGTTTTTTTCTTTGCAGAAGAAAGTCTTGTTGGACATGGTTTTGACGCAAATGTTGGAAATATGTCTGACCTACAATGAAACAAAGTAATTTCAATAAACACTAAGATTTAGTGCTGTTCAATACTAACATGACATACTCTCTATTCTTATTAACTCACTGAACTTTTAGATAATAAGGGAGCAATAGGTATGACACTTGAAAAAATATGGCTAATAGTATTTTTTTTTTTTTTTTTTTTTGCTATTCTTAATTCACCTTTTAGATTTCCAACCTTTTTAACATATGGCCAGTTCTTAATTGCTCATAATAGGAACCCCATAGAAAATGACTCTCTGACTTATGCTGTACAATCCCTAAGGGGAAAAAAACAAAACAAAACAACTGATCCAAGAATCCATTCCAAAACTAAATCAAGGCCAAGTGTGGTGGCTCATGCCTGAAATCCTAGCATTTTGGGAGGCCAAGACAGGATGATCACTTGAGCCCAGGAGTTGAAGACCAGCTTGCCATCATGGCAAAACTGCATCTCTACAAAACACTCTAAAGTTAATTGGGCATGGTAGTGTTCACCTGTAGTCCCAGCTACTACAGAGACTGAGGTGGGAGGATCATCTGAGCCCAGGAGGCAAAAGTTGCAGTGAGCTGAGATTGCACCACTGCACTCCAGCCTGGGTGACAGAGTGAGATACTGTCTCAAAAAAATAAAAATAAAAATAAACAAATCAAATCATTCTTAATTATCTAACATACAATTTAACTTCATATATGATAACACAAAAATAGAGACTTGGCTAAATTATAAAAAAGAGATCGGGAACAAGTGAGTTTGGCAAATGCCACTTTCTTCTTAGACTATTCTTTGCTAGGCCTTGTTTCATTAAGAAAGTCAACTGAAGAATGTTAAATCTGAGTTTAAGGGAACTGTTTTAAATCAGTAAGTGTTGTAATGTCACTAACTTAGTGATGAATATTAAAAAGAAGACATTTTACAAAGAAGTACAAATCTTAGTAACTGGATATTAATACATTTGTCAATGGAGAAATCATTGTTAAATATTTTGAAAGAGCAATTTCTCTAGAATAAATTACTATAAATTTATTTTTATACTAAATGTAGTTGACTTGGATGAAAGAAGAAATTTCAGTCTCTAGGATGGTGGTTTTCAACAATTTTTCTTCCCTAACCCACCTAAGGATAAATCTTTGAATCAGGCAGTAGTGGCTTTCTTTGGCCATGAATCTTAAGGTAGAATGCAAGCTGGTTAAGAATAATTGTTCTAAAGCCACCAATCTTAAATGTGGAAATCTCAGATTCATTAAAGACAATTCAGTCCATAAATGAGGGTGTGCTGAACTACCTTCTCACAGAATTCTGTATCTGAAGAAATTAACTCAGTGAGAAAACATAGGATATTATGTATTCTAAATCATATAAAATGAACTTTTCTTCCTAAGTATGTTTCAAATTATTTACACAACCTTGCAACTGCAGGATTATATAAGATAAAATTTTCATCTTCATAGAAGATCATGAAAGGACTTTAGTTCTAAAAGCTAAAAACATATTTTGTCTTATAACTTAATGTAAACACTGGACCATGTTGTCATTCCAAATTCACTTTGTCAATATGCATATTATTCTACCTAAGTAATTATAATAAATGAACTGTTGGAAGATAAAATTTCCAAGTACAAAACAAGGTGCTATTTAAGTTAAAAATGTATATTAAAAAAAAAATAATGAGGTGAGACAAACTTCTAAGAATGGGACACAAAAATTCAGTTTAATTCTATGAACTACTAGAATAAAACATTATTTTCTATTTAGAACACTACCTCTCCTTTGCTTATGCAATCTCTATTTACCTACATTTCTTAGAAGTTCCAATTCACTAAAGTAAAATTAATTTTAATTTTAAATGTTTATTTCTGGTTCAGGATGAAATCAAAGAAAAAAAATTTAAGACTGACAACACTAAATGTTAGCAAAAATGTGAAACAAGTGTAACTCACACATTGCTGGTAGGAGTGTAAAGTTACACAATCATTTTGGAAAACTGTTTAGCAGTTTCTTAAAAAGTTAAATATACATCTACTCTATGTCCTATTAGTTCTGTTACTAGGGTTTTGTCCACAATAAAAGAGGAAGGGATTCCCCAAAATCCTACAGTATGGTCACAGAGATGCTCAGAAAGCAGTTTGAGACGCCTTATCAGTTAAGTGAAGTTAAGGTTTAAGACTTAGAGGTTATAGAAGTAATCTGAAAAAGTTAGTCCAACTGCTATGCTGAAAGATAATTTTCTGTTGGTAGGGGGTGGCCAGGACTTTAAGTGCAGCACTATTGCTGTAGGGAGACTCCTAAGAAGGATATGAGAACTATGGCATGAAGTCCTGAGCTTCTACAAGATAATAGAAATAAAATCTAAGAAAATAACAGCTGTGTGAAACTTACCCATAAATTAAAGGAAATTGGTGCTAAGCTTAAAATAAAAGCAATAATAGGCCGGGCGCGGTGGCTCATGCCTATAATCCCAGCACTTTGGGAGGCCTAGGCGGGTGGATCCCGAGGTCAAGAGATCAAGACCATCCTGATCAACATGGTGAAACCCCGTCTCTACTAAAAATACAAAAAATTAGCTGGGCATGGTGGCGCGTGCCTGTAATCCCAGCTACTCAGGAGGCTGAGGCAGGAGAACTGCCTGAACCCAAGAGGCGGAGGTTGCGGTGAGCCGAGATTGCACCATTGCACTCCAGCCTGGGTAAACAAAAGTGAAACTCTGTCTCAAAAAAATAAATAAATAAAAGCAGTAATATCAGCTATAGTTTAACTGGCAAAAGAGTCAATGATCCAGAAAAGAGCTAAAGGATAGAAAACATCAGGATAAATCTTAGACAGAAATAACAATTTGGGCTTTATGAACAGGGTCTTTACTAATTTAAATGCTGTGTTTATAGTTGGGGTTGTGTTCCCTTTCCATTCACACTAGAAACCAAGGCCAAGCAAAGTAATATCTGTAAATGTTTCGTGTCTTTTAAATATATTTTAACATTTTAAAAACTCTAAATCACTAGTTACAGAGGAGCATTCATTTATCATGCCAAAAAATAAAATACATTATTCTCTTCCCCTGGGGAGTTGTAGACAGAGAAGAAGTCAATGATTCTTGGCTGTAAACTCCACTTTCACTGTAAGAACTGATGTTTGGAGAGGAAGACCGAGACGGGGAGTCCACTGTCAAGTCGAGCTTCATTGCAGAATCAGGACTTTCAAGATCTGAAGTACTGCCACTCAGTTTTGCTCTTTTCTTAGCTGCACTATTACGAAGGGACCTAAGAGAGCTATGCATCTAAGAAAAAATGAAAACAATAAACTTTATAACATAAATTCCTTATATTGGTAAAAGTTATCCTTAAATTTTAAACTCCATTAGCTATACCTAGCTAACCACTTCCCAATCCTCTACTAAAACAAGATGAATGCTAACATATATGTATATAGTATGAATATACAGATTTATCACTTGGGTATTTAAAACAACCTACTAGGTTAGAAGCTCCTTGAGAGGAAGAATCTTAGTGATTATTCTTCATGGGTATCTTTAGCACTGGGCACAAGAACTAAATATATTATATTAATTCAATTATTTAATAAATGAATCATTAAATCAAATGGTAGATATCAGAGTTGACGTTACAGAGGTACACCTGGTGTGCTGATGTGGCTTAGATGCTAGCTCTGGGAGGTGGTTAACAAAAATCAGTTTTCTAAAATTTGACATTTACATCAAGCTTGCAAGTGTTTAAAAAATTACAGATCACTGTACGTAACTTCTGAAGCCATGTATTTTTAGAAATGCAGCTGGGTGGCCGGGAGCAGTGGCTCATGCCTCTAATCCCAGCACTTTGGGAGGCTGAGGCAGGCAGATCACGAGGTCAGGAGATCGAAAGCATCCTGGCCAACATGATAAAATCTGGTCTCTACTAAAAATACAAAAATTAGCTGGTTGTGGTGGCATGCACCTGTAATCCCAGCTACTCGGCAGGCTGAGGCAGGAGAATTGCTTGAAACTGAGAGGCAGAGATTAGAGTGAGCCGAGATCGCACCACTGCACTCTGGCCTTGTGACAGAGCAAGACTCCAGCTCAAAAAAAAAAAAAAAAAAAGAAAGGAAAATAAAAGAAATGCAGCTGGGCATGGTGGTAGACACCTGTAGTCCCGGCTACCCGTGAGGCTGAGGCATGAGAATCACTTGAATCCGAGAGGCAGAGATTGCAATGAGCCAAGATTGTGCCACTGCACTTCAGGCTGGGCAACAGAGTGAAACTGTGTCTCCAAAAAAAAAAAAAAAGCAAAAGCAGAGTAGAAATTATTATGACAAACTGCTATATTAAGGCTGTCAACATAACTTTGAACAAAATAAAGAACACAGAAACATACATAAACTTTTGTTTACATCTGATTCATAAGATTAATCATTTAATGAAAGTATCTGTTTTCAATTAATGCAACATCCATAAATTTCTTAAATCTTTATAGTTGGAAGGCAAATTCAACAACAACAAAAAACGCTTTAATGGATTTATACCAATGTAGTACAATGAAAAACATAGTGAACATAAAGTTAGGTGAACAGGGCTTGAATCCTAGTCCTACCACTTACTTTCTGACTTTGAACAAGACATGTAACATCACTGAGCCCCTTCTGTAAAACCAAACACACACACAAACAAAAAACATAATAGACGTGGCCTTGTTTATTAACTTAGGGAGTTACTTTAAAGATTAAATAAAGTAAGGAAAATGAAAGTGTTTGATACATTATTAAGCACATTAAACGCTATAAAAACTTAGGCCTTTGTTAAAAGTCAACTCTACCAAGGAATTTAAACAGTGACCCATTCAAAATAGCAAATAAAAAGTGTCATATTAGCAACTATAAGGGAGGATAAGTAATTTTCAACAACTATACTAGTTGATTCAATACTAAGGCCACTTCTCTATTAAAAGCTTGAAACGCTGAATATCTAAAAGCAATGGTATCCTCCTGTTTTTACTAATAATTACGTAAAAGAAACTCACCTTTCAATTACCCACTAAAAAAAAAGAACTATTTTTAAGTTATTATAAAAACAAATCAAAATCATGTAGGATCAGGTGAAATTTGTAAGTTATATAGGAAAAGTCTTTTCTATATGTTTCTTCCCTTCAAATTAATTCCCTTCCTAGCACTACCAAAATACAAATGAGTTAGAAAAAAAAAAGGAAAGATTTCACAAGCAGTTAGAAATTGGGGTGATTACTTTAAATCATTAACAACCAACTTTGGTACTTTATTGGTTGGTTTTATATGTGTTTAACAGTAAAGACATACTTCATAAATGAATATACAGTAATATTAACTATTTTATTGAGCAAATTATCATTACATGATTGATGCTTATACCTTAAAAACAGACTAGAGACTGTAAAATATCATAATTGAGTATTTTCATTTATATATTTAATATAAAAGTTTTTTTTAACCTGACATGAGGCAAACTGAAATGATAAAAAGGCACTATCTATGGAAACAGTAGTCTGAAAAAAATAATACAGCAACCACATTCCTTCTCTGACATAATTATTATGTACAGTTATCGTATTGGTAACACATTTTTATAGCACAAAGTGATCTAGGATTCAAAGATGAGTATTCAATATGATCTCAATTTCATAAAGATAGGTAAGTTTGCACATATGAACAAAGGACAAGTTCCAATATGTTCACTGCAGTTCACTGTTTGCAATAGCAAAAGACTGATCATAAGCCGTAATCAATGGTATAAATGTACCATAAGTAAATTAATAGACAAAATAATATATCAATATAAAAAGTACAAAAATACATAAAACATAAATAAATGGTAATAGTGGTTGCCCCTGGTGAAGAAGGAAGAGACTCTGAACTGGGAAAAGAACTATGCTGTTTCATTTATTTAAATATAGGAAACAAATATGACAAATTGTTCACTGGAAGGGGTCAGTACATGAGTGTATTTGCTATATTATTATTCATACTTTTAATTTAAAAAGGAATAATGTATGTATAGAAAAAAATCCTTGAAAAAAATACAGTAGAATGTTAACAGTAAGCTATTCTGGGTAGTGGGAACTGGTGTGATAAATTCCCTTCCTAATAATTGATGGTATTTTCCACATTTTCTATAAAGAACATATTTTTAGAAATAAGATGTTATAGGATAAAAAGAACTTGATTTTTCCTTAAATAGCAACTATAATATTATAGAAAACTGCAAATATTTTTAAGTCATTACCTCTTCTTGATTAAAATCTTTATCCTTGAAATTTAATTCAGAAAGATCAACTGGAAGACTATCTTTTTCACACTTCCAAATATCATCAGGCTCTTTCTTTTTGTGTCCCACTGTGCTTAAATCAGCTTTATCAGGCAACAGGCTTATTCCCCTTGGTATAGGAGGAACAGGCTTTGTTCCATTTAGGCCTCGTCGGGAAGATGGTGATCTCACCAAAGCAGGTGTAAGCTGAACTGAAGGTTTTTCTTGAGAATTTTCTCCTGCATAAAAAATAAATATTTTACTTTTTCTTTTTTTTTAATTTTAGAGGAGAAGAGGGAGTTATAATCACAAGTATTTAAAATACAATGTTTTAAAATTAAAAAAGCACATTATAGCTGGCCACTGGGGAGAACAAGCTGAATAAAGACTTGACTTTCAATATAATATTTGATTTTGTACAATAAACAAATATAGAAAGAAATTAATAGAAGAGAGTCAAAGTAAAGTGCTAAGGAAAATAATACAATTGACTGAATATGCTATAAATTGAATACTGGACTTGTAGGATAGCCTAAAGGTGAAATATCTTACATCAATGGCTGGGGAAAGAAGATCATGAGGGATGCAGGGGATTTCTTTATTATACCTTTAATTTTTATTTATTTATTTATTGAGGTGGAGTCTTGCTCTTGTAGCCCAGGCTGGAGTGCAGTGGTGCGATCTTGGCTCACTACAACCTTTACCTCCCAGGTTCAAATGATTCTCGTGCCTCAGCCTCCCAAGTAGCTAGGATTACAGGCATGTGCCACCAGCTGGGCTAATTTTTGTATTTTTGGTAGAGACAGTGTTTTACCATGCTGGCCAGGCCAGTCTGAACTCCTGACCTGAAATGATCTGACCACTTTGGCCTCCCAAAGTGCTGATATTACAGGTGTGACCCACTATGCTCAGCCAACTCTTTAAGACCGAATTTGTCCTGAATGAACTTACATATGCTAATTTCATGATTTTAGAGTGGGTTATTAAGAAAAGAACGTTTTAGTTTGTAACGAATAATAAAAAATGTTTCAAATTAACTTTAATATATATTAAACACTCAATAAATGTTGAATAAATGAATACTAGGCATTAATTGCAATAAGCATATGAATGACATTTTATATTTGTAATGCTAAAATTTGTTAGCAGGCTCTTAAACAACATATGCTGTTCATGTTTATTATACAACATTATTACTTTCTGACCCAGCACAGTGGCTCAAGTGTGTAATCCCAGCACTTTAGGAGGACGGGATGGGAGGATCATTTCAGATTAGGAGTTCAAGAACAGCCTGGTCAATATAGTAAGACTCCCTCTCTAGTTCCAAAAAAAGAAGCATTATTATTTTCCTGGTTTCAAAAAGGATTTTGAAGTGGTAATGTAAGAAATGAGAATTTCAATTGAATGTTATACATTTGATCTATTTAACACACCACTAAGTATTTTCCTAAATATTTCCTAAATTCAGACAGATAAAATGTAATTTACTAGCTTTTAAAGATCTAACAACCCTATGCATTAACTTCAAAGTACTAATTCAAATACAAATAAATTTGAACAAAATACTGACTTTTACCTTCATTTCTACCTGTAGGATCAGACGATTTCTGGCTGACAAGCTTCTTCTGTGGACTTGGCTTTGATAGTCCTTCAAAGCTTTTAAGAGGCCAGGAATTTGAGAAATTAACCGAATTATCTTGAGACTTCTTTGGAGATATACTAAGAGGAGATGTGTGCTTTGGACTAGTTCGAGGTGATGAGAGAGGATAGGATGGAAGGATGTAGGCTCCTGGACTTAGATTTTGCCCGTTTGAGGACGTACAGTCAGTTTGACTACCAAATGTTTGCTGTGTCTTACTGCCAAAACTGAGGCTAGCATACACTGTAATAAAACAAAAGATGATATGTTATTTATGTATACACAGTTCTAAAAGCTTAAAGTGTTTTGCTTTTTGCTTTTCCCATTCAAGTTTTCATCCCAATTGGTATTTATATTTTTGTATGTTTGAGGTAAGGAACTAATTTGTGTTATTCAAATATTCTGTGTCTTCTAATTCAAAACTTCTTTATTCCATTAAAATTTTCTACTTTTATAATTAATTTTCCCCTTGTAATTTTACTAAATTGCATACATATATAAATGCATATATCTATACTTATATGTCAAAAAGTCTCATCTTTTCAGTGAATTATTCTTTTTCTCATTACAATGACCCTCTTTAAAATTAAAAATGTTTCTAATTTTGATGTGCACATTTTCCCTATCATCAACATGTTTCTATTTGCTTTTCTCTGAATATTTGCCTAGTGTATCTTTTCCATGCTTTACTTTCTCTCAATCTATTTTGATGTATTTTAGGTAATACTCTTAAAAAAATCACTTCAATGAAAAAATAAAAAATAAGACCTGATCACCTCTGTCATTTAAGTTGTAAGTTCTGGCAATTTATATTGTGGGAACTATTCATATATTTAATTTTAATTTTACCCTCTTGTTTTATGCTTTCTGTTTATTGCTTTTTTATTACTTCTTTTTTGTCTCTTATTGATCTTATTATTCTTCAACTAATATAAAAAGTCTATTTGTAATCTTTTAGGGGTTCCCTTAAATTTTCCTTTAATATTTTTAAAAAGGTTTTCCATGACAAAATACCTAGCTTATGTATATTAACAAAGCAAACATTCTTCTGAAGACTTAAACAACTGTATATATTATATGCTTTATTTTTAATTCATAACTGACATGGTTAAAACCTCTACTCATACCAAAATCTCATCTGGGTAGAGACACTATAGGAGACTTAGTTATAGATATACATAAAGAATTAAAACTTTCAGTTTCCTCATTTCAATTACAGTGTTCTATTAACAGGTTCTGGTGCTTAATGAGTGTCTCATGTATTCCTAAAGATTTTAAAATATTTCTTTTTTTTTGTATGAAGAAATCAAACATCCTATCTTATTATGCATATATTTAAAAACAATGCAATACAACATACACCAAAATTTCCAACACTTGGTGTGGATCACTACAACATGTAAATTAGGATGCAAACATCCATATTGTTTGTCATCCATACCACAGGTCTTTCAGAGATCACAAGGGGAGTATTAGTTGAGATGGTAGTGGTCCTGATGGAATTTTAATGTATAACCAAGTATTAAAGTTAAATTCTATTAGGTTTAGAAAAACATGATATCCCTTTATACCAGTTTCTCTAATAGCTATTACAATAGATTAAAGAAAACCAGAGCCACTAGGCAGATATGATTAAACACTAAGAGTGGATAATCCTCAAAGGCAATGGAATCATTCAGGGATAGCCTAACAGGAACAGGTTAAGTGGCACATCAAGCTATCTTTGATTATACCAATTAGGAATCCCAAAGATATTCAAGAATTTAGGAAATAGCCACATTATTAAAAAAGATGGATTCTTTTATTGTAGTGTAGATAATACCACAAAGAATAACTTTAAGGGGTTATGTGGGTCTTTGGGGTGAGGGAAGAAAAGGGTAGTTAAAATATTAGTGCAATATATACTCAATCCTCTTTAGTAATTTCAAATGATCATTATTTTTTGTAACAAATAGAGAATTATATCCCTATCACTAGAAAAAATTTTAGTGAAGGACATATAATAAAATTTAAAATACCTAAAGAAATATTTAATTTGATCCTACCTCTATCTAATAATTGTTGAAGCTATTAAATAGCAAGAAATTTAAGAACACCTTCAATCCCCAAATTCCTGGCTGACAACCAGCCTCAAATCCTTCCTTTTCTTCTGTATCTTATGTCTTACATGAAGGAATCACTTTTAGTAAGTTATGGTTCCTAACAAGAGACATAATACATTCTACATAGCCTTAAAATTTAAAACTGCATGGATAATCATTGTCATCTGCTAACACAACACTCTTTAATGGATGTTATTTTCAATGACTTGGTATTAAAATACTCATCTCTCTGATGATTAGTGATGTTGAGCATTTTATCATATACCTGTTAGACATTTCTATGTCTTCTTTCGAGAAATGTCTATTCAGATCTTTTGCCCATTTTGGTTCTTTACTATTGAGTTGTTTGAGTTCCTTATATATTCTGGTTATTAATCCCTCATCAGTGGAATAGTTTGCAAACATTTTTTCCAGTTCTGTAAGCTGCAGCTCCACTTTGCTGATTGTTTCCTTTGCCATGCAGAAGCTTTTTAGCTTATTGTGATCCCATTTGTTCATTTTGGCTTTGGTCGCCTGTGCTTTTGACGTCTTACTCAAGAAACCTTTGTCCAGACCAATGTTATGAAGCATTTCACTAATGTTTTCTTCTAGCAGTTTTATAACTTCAGGTATTATATTTAAGTCTTCAATACATTTTGATTTGATATATGTATATGGTGAAAGGTAGAAGTCTAGTGCAAATCAAAACCACAATGAGGTATCATGTCACTCCAATTAAATAGATTTTATCAAACAGATAAAAAATAACAAATGGTGGCAAGGATGGTGACAAAAAGGAATGCTTGTACACTGGTCGTGGGAGGGTAAATTAGTACAGCCATTATGGAGAATAGTAAGGAAGTTCCTCAAAAAACTAAAAATGTGCTGAGCATGGTGGCTCGTACCTGTAATCCCAGCCCTCTGGGAGGCTGAGGCAGGATTGCGTGAGCCCAGGAGATGGAGACTAGCCTGGGCAACATAGTGGAACCTCAATTCTGCAAAAAAATTAAAAATTAACCAGACACAGTTGTGCATACCTGTAGTCTCAGCGACTTGGGAAACTGAGGTGGGAGAATCACTTGAGCCCGGGAGGTCAAGGCTGCAGTGAACCATGATCACGCATGCCACTGCCCTCCAGCCTAGGCCACAGAGCAACACCCTTTCTCAAAAAACTAAAAATACAACTACCATATGATCCAGCAATTCCACTGCTGGGCGTATATCTGAAAGAAGGAAATCAGTATATCAAAGAGGTATTTGCACTTTCTTGTTTATTGCAGCACTATTCACAAAGCCAAGATATGGAATCAACCTAAGTGTCCATCAGCAGAAGAAACGGATAAAGAAAATATGGTACATATACACAATGGAGTACTGTTGAGCCATAGAAAGAATGAAATCCTGTCATTTGCAACAACCTAGATAAAAATGGAGGACATTATCTTAACTGAAATAAGTCAGGCACAGAAAGACAAATATTTCGTGTTCTCACTCCTATGTGGGAGCCAAAACACAAAAAAAATGGAGGTAGAGAGAATAATGATGGTTTCCAGAGGCTGGCAAGGGCAGTGAGAAGTGGGTAATGAAGAGAAGATGGTTAATGTGTACAAACATAAAATTAGACACTGCGGGCAGTGACTCACATCTGTAATCCCAGTGTTTGGGGAGGCTGAGGCAGGTGGATGACCTGAGGTCAGGAGTTTGAGACCAGCCTGGTAAATATGGTGAAACCCTGTTTCTACTAGAAATACAAAAAGTAGCCAGGGTGTGGTGGCGTGCACCTATATTCCCACCTACTTGGGAGGCTGAGACAGCAGAAGAATTGCTTGAACCCAGGAGGTGGAGGTTGCAGTGAGCTGAGATCCTGCCACTGCACTCCAGCCTGGGCGACAGAGGAAGACTCTATCGCAAAATAAATTAAAATAAATAAATAAATAGAATAAAATAAAATTAGAAGGAATAAGATCTAGTGCTCAGTATAGCATAATAGAGTGACTATAGTTAACAATAAGTTATTACGTATTTCAAAATAACTAAAGGAGTAGATTTTTAATGTTCCCAACACAAAGAAATGACAAATGTTTCAGGTGATGCATATCCCAAATACCCTGATTTGATCATTACCTATTATATATCAAATGTAATAGGTACCTTTGATACCCCAAAATGTATCACCACAAATATGTAACCCACAAATATGTACCACTATTATGAATATATGAAAGCAAATGCAATACTCATCTCCACCATGAGTATCTAAACTCTAATTTTAATCAATCACATTTATATGAAGATTATGAAACCTAATACTTTAGGGTAACAATTATAAAAAATGTTATTAAAAATATAACAAAATCCTTTTCTTTTTTGTGATGAGTATGATTATACAAAATATTATGTAAGTTAGTGTTGGAATCCCCAAATAATATTTATAAATCATTTGTTTCCAAGTAAACTTGAAACTTTTACCTTTATCTTGATGACTGCTAGTTGTCCCTAAGAACTGTAAGTCAGAATCCACACTGCCAGTTTTACCACATATTTGTGAAAACCCAAGTTGTGCACATTTCCCAGAAAGACTTGTTTGATGAGTCCCAGTAGTATCTTTTGAAAAAAGGAGGGGAGAAAACATGAAAGCAAAAGTTAACTTTATTTCATGAACACATCTTATTTCATAAATGTTGGAGTAATTTGGGTGGAAAGATAGAAGTGTATAAGTGCAATGAGCTAGGCAAGCAAGAAAGGGATAAAGGTTTTGACATTAGCAAATTGGATTAGTGGAAGCAGTTAAAGGAAAGAAGAAAGACTAGCAAAGAACAGGAAAAAGAGAGGTGTATTGAAGAATATCCGCAAAGGCAATTTCTTCCTATACTCTCCTTTTTCTCACCATGGAATGTTTCTCCACACCTGGGCTTTCCTTCTTTCCAGTATTTGCATTACATGTACTACCCAAAAAGCCCTATCACCAAACTCTTTTCTTTTACTTTTTTTGTGCAGTGGTGGGATCTCGGCTCACTGCAACCACTGCAACCTCTTTTATTTTCTTCCCTAATATACTTTGCACTATTCATGTAGATTCTAAGCTTATCCAGGCATGCTTCCTGTTTCCCCGTCTGTGTCTGACTGAGGTTATTCCTGGGAAGGTGAATAAATCTAAAGAAAAAAAGGTGATAATGACTCCTCCGGCGTTTAGTTTATTCCTCTATTAAATGAGCCTATCCTTTGTAGTTCCAAAATTGTATAATTTAAAAAAACATTCTCTCCCTGTCATATCAAGCCTCTTTACCTTTCATGTCCTGGATGCCTTTTCTTTTAAGACAGGGTCTCATTCTTGTCACCGAGGCTGGACCTTGTCAATGCAGCCTTGACCTCCCTGGGCTCAGGTGATCCTCCTGCCTCAGCTAACCAAGGCTGGTCTTAAACTCCTGATCTCAGGTGATCTGCCTGCCTCAGCCCCACAAAGTGCCGAGATTACAGGCGTGAGCCACAGCGCCCAGCCCCTCCCTTCTTTAAAGTCAAGCTCAACCTTTTACTGAAGTTTTCTGAAACCACTTCAATACTTATGTCTTCCTCTCTTGAATTCTTATAATATTTGTAATTCATATCATCCCATCAAGCATTAGATTGTATATCATCTTATTCTCCAGGTATTTAAAATCTGTACAACTAGAAAATGAGCTTCTCAATGGTACAGATAAATAAAAATCAAAATTAAAAATGCTATAAACCTAACTGGGATTATTCTTGTATTTCTCCTTCTCTATTAAACAATAAAATAAACTATGCAGTCATTATAACATTTCATTTTTGTATGAAAATACTTCAGAATTTCACTGCATAAAGGTCTATAAATTCTTCTAGAGAACAACATTTACTGAATAATATATCTCAACTCATAGCCAACACATTTTGAAAACTGTTATCATTTAGGTGTTAAATAAATTTTTAAATCTATAACATAGTCAAATCTTTACCTTCTAAATCATTTTCCCTTCTAAGGGGTATCGCTTTGTCAAAACACTACAATTTTTCTAATTACCTGGGTGCTATATCTTGAAATCCTAAATGATTATTTAGAACTCAAGCTCAACCTCCTTTTTTTTTTTTTTTTTTGAGACAGAGTCTCACTCTTGTAGCCCAGGCTGGAGTATAATGGCTTGATCTCAGCTTACAACAACCTCCACTTCCCAGGTTCAAGCGATTCTCCTGCCTCAGCCCCCGATTAGAGGTGTGTGCCACCATGCCTGGCTAATTTTTTATAAATTTTTAGTAGAGACAGGGTTTCACCATGTTGGTCAGGCTTGTCTCGAACTCCTGACCTCAGGTGATCCACCCACCTCAGCCTCCCAAAGTGCGAGGATTACAGGCATGAGCCACAGCACCCGGCCTCAACCTCTTTCTAAATGATCTGGTCATTTAGTATATTGAATATCCACAAAGGCAGTTCCTTCCTACACTCTCCTTTTTCTTCTAAAAGATTACAGTCAATGACATTGACCATTTCCTCTGAAGTGCCATAATATTTACTTTCTATAATACTTAGTCAATTAAATGTTTTCAGTTGCTCTGACCAAAAATCCTTATGGCATTCTTGACACTTCTTTCTCACTCTATACCCAATCTACCAGCAAATTATATCAACTTTACCTTTGACATATAATTAGAATCTAATCACTTCTTACTACATTCTTGCTATCCTGGTTAAAGCCTCCATTAACTCTAGCCATGATGACAACAACAGATTCTTTTTTTTTTTTTTTTTTTTTTTTGGGGGGGGAGGAAGGCATGAAGGAAGGGAATAAGGACGGTAGGGAGGAAGGAAGGGAGGAAGCGGGAAGGGAGGGAGGGAGGGAGGGAGGGAGGGAAGGGAAGAAAGGAAATCAAGCAATGAAAGAGACATTGCCGACCTGGATCTAGAGGTTTACAAGTTGATTTCTTTTTTTTTGAGAGAAGGAAAGAAAAAAAAAATAAGTAAAGGAGATGAAGAAAGAGGAAGAGAAAGAGGGAGAGTAAATGGAAATATTGCTTTATTTTGAAAAAAATTGGGTATTAATAATGGCCAATCAATGTTTCATTTAAACTTATGGGTAGGTGTGATGTGGTATTGACAAGAATGTATATTTTGTGTATTTGAAGTGGAGAGCTCTATAAATATTTATTAAGTTTACTTGTTCTGGATCTGAGTTTGAGTCCTTGATATCCTTATTAATTTTCTGTCTCATTGAATCTAAGTCTCCTATCTGGGTGTTAGGATCGTTAGCTCTTGTTGTTGCATTGATCCTTTTACCACTAAATCGTCGTTGCTTTAAAATCTATTTTATCCGATACGAGAATTGCAACTCCTGCTTTTTATTTATTTATTATTTATTTTTGCTCTCCATTTGGTTGGTAAATCTTTCTCCATCCCTTTGTTTTGAGTCTTTGTGTATCCTTGCATGTGAAACAGGTCTGGATGTAACATGCCGTTGGGTTTTGGCTGTGTCTTTTGATTGGGAATTCAGTCAATTTAAATTTAGGGTTACTGCCATTTGATGTTGACTGGCTGTTTTATCCATTTGTTGGTGTAAATTCTTCTTTATGTTGGTGCTCTTTACTTTTTGGTGTATTTTTAGAAAGGCTAATACTGGTTGTTTCTTTCTGTGTGTAATGCTTCTTTCAGAAGCTCTTGTAAAAAGCAGGCCTGGTGGTAATAAAATCTCTGAGTTCTTGCTTGTTCATAAAAGATTTTATTTTTCCTTCAGTTGTGAAGCTTAGTTTGGCTGGATATGAAATTCTGGGCTGAAGGTTCTGTTCTTTGAGGATGTTGAATATTGGCCCCCACTCTCTTCTGGCCTGTAGAGTTTCTGCCGAGAGATCTGCTGTAAGTCTGATAGGCTTGCCTTTGTGGGTAATCTGACCTTTCTCTCTGGCTGCCCTTAGTATCCTCTCCTTCGTTTCAACCCTGGTGAATCTAATGATTATGTGCCTTGGGGTTGCTCTTCTTGAGGAATATCTTTGTGGTGTTCTCTGTATTATCTGGGGTTGAATGTTGACCTGCTTTGCTAGTTTCGGAAAATTTTCCTGAATAATATCCTGAAGGGTATTTTCCAGCTTGGATTCATTCTCTCCGTCGCATTCAGGTACACCTATCAAACGTAAATTTGGTCTTTTCACATAGTCCCACATTTCTTGGAGACTTTGCTCATTCCTTTTTATCCTTTTTTCTCTAATCTTTTCTTCACGTTTTATTTCATTAAGTTGGACTTTGACCTCTGATATCCCTTCTTCTGCTTGAACAATTCGAGTGTTTAAAGCTGTGCATACTTCTCGGAGTTCCTGTATTGTATTCTTCAGTTCCATTAATTCACTCATACTCCTCTCTAAGTTGTCTATTCTCAATAGGATTTCATCAAACCTTTTTTCAAAGTTCCTAGTTTCTTTACGTTGGGCTACAACATGTTCTTTTAACTCACCGAAGTTTGTTATTATCCATTCCTTGAAGATTGATTCTGTCATCAGGAGGCGCTCGTTCTCCATCAAGCCTTGTTCCATTGTTGATGTGGAACTGTGATCATCTTTAGAGGGAGAGGCGTTCTGACTTGAGTATTCTCAGCTTTTTTATGCTGGTTTCTTCTCGTCATTGTAAATTTCTCCTCCTGTCGTCTTTGAAATTACCAACTTTCAGATTAGGTCTCTTGAGGGGACGTCCAGGTTGTTAGTTCCCAGGGCCAGAGCAGCAGCGTTAAAACTGATGGTGCTTTTCTGCCCAGGATTCTCCTGTCGGGCTTCCTTCTTGTTTCCTTAGTAAGTGACTCTGCCTTCCCGGGGCTCCAAACCTCGGTCAGAAGGGGAACCGGTCCCGTTTACTCTGCGCCGAGCGCCGAGGTGCTGGCGGAACCGCTGCACCGACCACGAGAGTCGCGCTGGCGACTCGTGTGTTTCCACCTCTGGGGGATCTTCTGCTTCGTGAGCGACCAGACTTTGTCTGAAAGTGTGGCATTCTCTAGTTCTCCGCGCCTTCCCTGAGAGCTGCAATCCCGGGATGTTAGCGATCGGCCATCTTGGATCGTTCCAACAACAGATTCTTAATCAGTCTTCCTGTTTTGATCTTGCTCTCTGATCTAGTTTGGCTCTGTGCCCCCACCTGAATCTCATGTTGAATTGGTAATCCCCAATGTTGGAGGTAGGTGGGGCCTGGTGGGAAGTGACTAGATCATGGGGGCAGATTTCCCCTTTTGGAGCTGTTCTCATGATAGAGTTCTCACAAGATCTGGTTGTTTAAAAGTGTGTAGCACCTCCCCCTTACTCTCTTCCTCCTGCTCCCACCATGTAAGACATATTTCTTTCCCCTTCACCTTATGTCATGATTGTAAATTTCTTGAGGCTTCCCCAGAAGCAGAAGCCTATACGGCCCGTAGCACCATGAGCCAATTGAACCTCTTTTCTTTATAAACTATCCGGTGTCCGGTATGTCTTTATAGCAGTGTGAGAACAGACTAATACACTCTCCTTCCATCTATTTTAATAATAAAATCCAAATGAGCCTGGCAACAAGTGATGTTAAATCTTTCTTCAAAATGCTCCTCATTCAGAGTAAAAGGTGAAGTTCACTTATAAGTCCACTAGGCCTTAAATAAGGACCCCTATTAGTCTTTAATTTTCCACTTATTTTCCCCTTTCTCAATTCATTCCAGACATACTAGTTTCTTTGATATTTCTCAAACATGTTCCACACACTTCTCTCTTACTCTGTGCTGTGCCTCTTCCTGAAATTATTTATTCTTTACTCCTGATACATAGAGTGGTTTGCTTTAAATATTCTTTCCTGAATAAGGTCTTCTTTCTGCTTTGTTTTCCTTCATAGCATTTATCATCAGCTAACTTACTGTGTCTTGTATCTATGTAATGTCTGCTGTCATTCCCAAGCAGAATGCAAGCTCTATTAGGCAGACCCCCAGTACTTAGAAAAGCACCTGACACATAGAAGATACTCAATAAATACAGATGATGTATGAAGCAAATATTGCCCTACATTAATACTTAAACAATTTCAATGAGAAACTCTCCAGGGTTTTATGAGATAATAATGTGTAAGTGTCCATTCTTATCAGATCTTCAATAAATAACTTATTGAATCTGAATTGCCTACTAGGTTAAAAGTTCTGTGAGTCCTTGAATGCACTATGAAGTCAAGAGAAGTCTCTAACTTAGTTCAGTATGTCCATCATCAACAACTGGTACTTACCGGCAGGACAGACAGGAAGAGAATCTGGGTTAAAATCACGACTATTATGAAATAAGTTTCTTGATACTCTTTTTCTGCTAAAACATAAATCATCATTGACTGGCTTTCCTTGAGAGGGCTTTAATTTTGGAGATGGGATGAAATCGTATGTTGAGAACTATAAGAACAGAATCATAAATTAGCAAATTTGTGTTAACTCTACCTGGTAATAAATATGACAAAATAACTAGATACAATTAAGAAATTCAGATTAGAATAAATTTTACTTTATTAAATATATAATTATACATCCATATTTAGTATGGTATACCAATAGTACTTTTCATTCCAGAACAGAAATGCTAATTTTTTTTCTACTACTTCCCCCCAACCCTTTACTGTTCCTTACCATCCTACAGTGTACATCTGGCAACAAGGAAGGAGAGAATACAAATGACAAAAAGGATGAAATGACAACCAGAATGATCTGACTGAGCAGCATAACCCCTCAAACTATGCTATTTTTGTTTGAGTACTAGACAATAAGTGCTAATTGGAGGTCACTGAACAAGCAAGCATTCTACTATACTGTTCTTACTGAGGCAAACTTTTAGCCATATCTATAGCCCAGATGTCAGTGTAAATGACCTGGCAACCTATGTCAAGTTCCCTTCAGGAGACTGTCTTACACTAGGTCTCTTAGTTAAAACCAGTAAATAATACTTTTTATATGTCTAGTACTTCATGGTTTCCAAGTCCTTTCCCATAAACCCCAGATGATCATTAAGGAACAAAGGTGCCAGAATACAATTTTAAAGTTATATATAATCAGTTAAAGAACTATATGACAGCATGATTCTTCTTCACCAATGATGACCTCAAGTGTCCTGGATCACCTGACATTCAACATGGCTATAAAACATTTAAAAAACTGAATGAATTGACAGAACATTATACTTCCTATGTATTTATTTGGAACTTATAGACAGACTCAAATCTAGACATGTGGTGAACTGTAAACCTTGTCAGTATGTTTCTTTGTAAACTTTGCCAAGTACAAAATAGCACAATAAAATTAAAGATATGTCTATTATGCTTCAGGTACACGTTATTCATCATCAAATTTTGTGAAAAACCCATTACCTCCTTCAAAAATTAACCCAGAAATGATAAGTAACAAAATTAAGAATGCCCAGATGAGGCCAGGTGTGGTGACTCACACCTGTAATCTCAGCACTTTGGAAGATGGAGGCAGGTGGATCCCTTGGGCCCAGGAATTCGAGACCAGCCTTGGCAACATAGTGAAATCCTGTCTCTATAAAAATTAGCCAGGCATGGTGGCATGTGCCTGTGGTTCCAACTAATTGGGAGGCTGAGGTAGGAGGATTACTTGAGCCTAGAAGGTAGAGACTGCAGTGAGCTGAGACTGTGCCACTGCACTCCAGCCTGAGAGACTGAGACCCTGTCTCAAAAAAAAGAATGCCCTCAGCTGGGTGTGGTGACTCATGCCTATAATCCCAGCACTTTGAGAGGCCAAGGTGGGTGGAACACTTGAGGTCAAGGGTTCAAGACCAGTCTGGCTAACACAGTGAAACCCCGTCTCTAGTAAAAATACAAAAATCAGCCAAGCATGGTAGTGCACACCTGTGGTCCCAGCTACTCAGGAGTCTGAGGCAGAAAAATTGCTTGAATCCGGGAGACAGAGTTGGCAGTGAGCCAAGATCATGCCACTGCACTCCAGGCTGGGCAACACAGTGAGACTCTGTCTCAAAAAAAAAAAAAAAAAAGTAAGAAGAATGACCAGATAAAAAAGGATTGACTTTATTTTCTCAAAACCTAGTTAACTTCCATGATTGATTATACAGTAGTCAGTACTGAAAGGATATAATAGAATAAAAATGAAACCAATTATAATCAAATTCTGATTAGATATATTAAAAAGACGACGTATTAACACAGCTAAAATAGTGAGTAATCCAAAAATAATTCCTCAGTAAGGGATACATTTTATGTTAGATTTACTTTGTGATTAATTTCTGTTTAGCAAACAGATATTAGTATATAGGCCAGATACATACAACAACTGGTGGGGGTGGTAATGTTGATGAGGGTGGTGATGTATTTGTATGTGTGTGTATGTGAATGTGGCATTTTCAGAAATCTTGAGAAGTCAGGCAGATATTAAGTTTTGCTACAGCAGATTATGCATCTGAAGGCAGACTATAGGACATACCAATTTTATTAACGTAAAAGATCTGTTTAGGTCTCTCTTAAAAGCAAATGATTTTCATTACGGTAAGTTTTGATGGGACAAAACAATGAATGAAGAAAAAGTTTTCAGAGTAAAATAAAATAGAATTCATAAATCTTGAAAGAGTTGTGAGTTAATGTTACAAAATGTGAAGCAGTCTATTGAAAGCACCTGATGACTCTCAGGAATATGGAACTGAATTTTCAGTCTTTGCAATTAATACCTAAACATTTATTTAATTCCTTCAAGTTATAGTAAATGAAATCAATATAAAAAAGAAAGTTTCACACTTAATATTAATAATGGTTTGAAATTTTTATAGTGTTGTTTACGGTTTCAATCTTTTGTTGTTGTTGTTGTTGTTGTTCTGTTTTATTTTTTAAAATAAGGTCTTAGTCTGTCACTCGGGCTGGAATGCAGTAGCATGATCACAGCTCACTGCAGCTCTGACCTTCCCCAGCTCAGGTGAATTTTCCCACCTCAGCCTCCCAAGTAGCTAGGACTACAGGCACTTGCCACCATGCCCAGCTAATTTTTTGTACTTTTTGTAGAGACCGGTTTTTGCCATGTTGCCCAGGCTGATCTCAAACTGTTGGGCCCAAGTGATCTGCCCATCTTGGCCTCCCAAAGTGCTGAGATTACAGGTGTGAGCCATTACACACAGCCTATTACCTTTGTATTTGAATCCCTGCATATTTTTCATAAAAAGTCTACAAAAATTTACTCTTGTTGTTTAATACTTTGACCGAATGTATCTTATTTTAGCTTTTGGCAGGGAGTATTAAAGCATCTCAAAAATAGTTTTAATTTTATTTTGGTAGCAAATTGCCAGAAAAACACCTTTTAATATCTCATTCTCTCAGAAATCACCTATACTCCTGGCTTTACTGAACTTGTACTACACTTTATCTTGACCTCCAGTTTTTGAACTGTTCACCTTTTACCAGTTCTTTCTGGCATTAAACAAGTTTATTCCCACTAACCACAGTCACCTTCTGTAAAGATCATTGTATTCATCTTTCAAATTATTTTCCTATGTACACTTTAGAAAAAATAGTCATGCCTGTAATCCCAGCACTTTGGGAAGCTGAGGCAGGCAGATCACAAGGTCAGGAGATTGAGACCATCCTGAACAACATGGTGAAATCCCATCTCGACTATAATACAAAAAATTAGCCGGGCATGGTGGTGGGTGCCTGTATTCCCAGCTACTCTGGAGGCTGAGACAGGGGAATTGCTTAAATCTGGGAGGTGGAGGCTGCAGTGAGTTGAGATCGTGCCACTGTACTCTAGCCTGGTGACAGCAAGACTCAGAAAAAAAAAAAAATGCCGGTCACGGTGGCTCAGGCCTGTAATCCCAACACTTTGGGAAGCCAAGATGAGCGGATCATGAGGTCAAAAAATCGAGACCATCCTGGCCAACACAGTGAAACCCCATCTCTATTAAAATACAAAAATTAGCTGGGCCTGGTGGCACGTGCCTGTAGTCCCAGCTACTAGGGAGGCTGAGGCAGGAGAATTGCTTGAACCTGGGAGGTGGAGGTTGCAGTGAGTCAAGATTACCACTGCACTCCAGCCTGCCGCCTGGCAACAAAGCAACACTCTGTCTCTAAAAAAATAATAATAAAAAAATACTATATGTAAACTTTGTATTCGGCTTTTTGCACTTCACATTATAGTAAAAGTAATTCCCATGCTGTTAAAACCCCTTATAAGTGCTATACAATTATTATTATTATTATTATTATTATTATTATTTTTAAGATACAGGGTCTCACTATGTTGCTTAGGCTGGCCTACGACTCATGGGCTCAAGTGCTTCACCTATATCAGCTTCCGAAGTATGTGGGACTATAGGATCACACCACCATGCCTGGCTATAAACTTTAGTTATAAAAATAATAATTGCTTCTTGTAAAAAATACAAAAATATCAAAGTTATCAAAAAAATTAAATTTAAAAAATATAAACTTAGAAATAAGATATAAACTTATTCTTTGGGACCCGTCTCACTGAAATCCTATTGATAAATCCTGTTAACAGGTCTTTTTCTATATATAACCATTCTTCAATAAGCTCTTTTTAAAAAACAAAAATAGATCACATGATACTCTGGCACACGGTAAATATGGAGACATTTTTCCATGTAAGACCATACATATCTTCTTATTTTAGACTCATAGTTCCTTACTGATGGACATTTTCTCTGCCACAACATTGCAGTGAACATTATTACACACATATCTTTGTGTATTATATTCCTATAGTATAAAAGTCCTAAAAATGGAACTGTTGAGTCCAAGGACATCAAATTATTTCTAATGTCTGCATAATATTCCATTGACTAGATGTGCCATTCTCCTTTGATAGAACATTCAGATTGCTCCCCAGTTTTTTTTCATATTAAAAAGGAAAAGTTCCATTGAGGGAAATGCTATATACATGGTTTAAGGTAGCCGTGCTGACAGATGAGACTGGTAGACTTTAGAAAGACTGTTACATAGGCTACATAGCTAAAATTAAAACAAAACAAAACAAAAAAACAAAAAACCAAGGCTGAGTACAGTGGTTCATTCTTTTAATTTTTAGCACTTTGAGAGGCTGAGGTGAGAGGATTGCTTGAGCTCAGGAGTTTTGAGACAAGCCTGGGCAACATGGCAAGACCCCACCTCTACAAAAGATAAAAAATTAACCAGGCCTAGTGTTGTGTTCCTGTAGTCCCAGCACCTTACGAGGCTGAGGTGGGAGGATCGCTTGACCTTGGGAGGTCAAGGCTGCAGTGAGCCATTAACTGTGCCACTGCACTCCAGTTTGGTCTCCAGCGGGAGACCCTGTCTCAAAAAAAAAAAAAGTCTCAGCTGGGTGTAGTGGCTTAGCACTTGGGGAGGCAGAGGAGGAAGGGTCACTTGAACCCGAGTTCAAGATCA